GCTTGACCTCCTCTTGGGCGCGGAGGAGTTCACGTTTCAGATTCTTCTGTTCGTCTTTGACGTACTCTTCTTGGATGTCGATGAACTCGAGCTGGCGTTGGAGGGATTTGAGGCGACTGTAGAGGTCATCTTCGTCAGAGAATTGTTGGTCGTTGGAGCTGCCGTGGAGGTCGGATCTTGTAGAGGGGAGTGACGGCGGAGGGTCGGAGGTTGGTTTGGGGTCGAGAACCATCGCAGCTGCCATTGTTGGAGATTTAGAAGGAGGATTTGGAGTGAGGAGCAAGAAATTGGTAGAAGGCGTTCTTATATTATAGCTGAAGCTTCAAGTAAGGGAGTTTCATGCCGTCGTTTTTGGACCTGCAAGCTGGACCTATAAAAATCACAGGCCCAAGAGGGAGCAGCCCTCAATCAAGCAAGCTGGACCTAAAAAATAAAATAAAATAAATAAATACAAAGCATGGGCCTAATTACATCTCTCATTAATACTTGGAATGTTATATTAATGGAAATATAAACTACCTTAATTATTATTAGGAATGTTTATAAAAACATTTTTGGTTAGGTTATAATAAATTAGTGGGTATGATGTATTGATATATTTGATTGAGATGATAAATTGGTAAGTATGTTATATAGATTACTAAATTATCCTCATTTTTAAATATTAATATAATATTATTTTTATTATTATTTTTTGAATATTTTTGTAACCCTACATTTAAAATTTTGTTAAAATACCCCAATCATATAAAACTTTAATTTATAACAAAATCACCCACACCCACACCCACCCCAAGTCACTACCGATAGTCAGCCACCAACTTCGGCTGTCGTCAATAGTCGTCGTAATAGTGCACAACCAACCGACTCTTGTCACAGTCAGAAACGACGAGATCTGTGGCTATTTCACAGCCATATTTTTAGCTTTTTTCATTTTGTCGAAAAGTTGAACAATAAAGATTGATGGAAGGGCATAATTTTTCTTTTTCTGAAATAATATTAGCCCACATAAATTTCGCCTTTTCAAATTTTTTTAACCCCTTCAACGTTTCAAAAATAACAAACAAACCCATGATATTAGCAATACCTACTTTCATAGTTAAATCCACCTTATTATTATTAATTTAGAAAAAAAACACACATACAATTCCAATTTTTTAGTCTTTAATTAACGATTAACACACCATGATTAGAAAATATCTCATCTAGATCCCTAGCCCTTAAACTAAATTACAAAGTCCTATTTATATTTTTCCTCTGCTAATGGTGTTTTTGGAAGAGTCCAAGTTCAAGTCAGAGTTAAAAAAAATAAGGATTTTATTTTTCTCGCGATCCACGCGGCGACATGAATTTCTGGCGCCAAGGGGCATAATTTTTCCACAAACATACGGCCTTGTCATGCTGCGGCACCACTTTCTTCATGCCGTGGCATGAACTTTCTACCCAACTTCAGCTTCTTGCGTTGCGGCACGAAAAGTCCATGCCATGGCGCCATCCGACAAATTCACTTCCTTTTTTCAGTTTGACAATCTTTTTCTTTTTTTTTTCCTTTAGCATGTACACAGCCTATAACCATCGTGCAAGCATAAATTCCTCACTTTTTTTGCTTGAAAACCTAAACTCATATACATACCCATGATTCTTGAAAATAAAAATATGCTGTAAATAAACGTACTAAGGATGAATATTCACACACACTTCTTATTCATAGCTTAAAAGGATACATATTTATATACACTTGTAGTGTTCTAAACTCTGCATAGGCCTTTGGTGTACCCTCTTATTTTAATTTTTGTTAATTTCTGTGAAACTTTTTCTTTTTGAAATCATATTAGCCCACATAATTTCTCAGTTCCAAATTTGATGTCATTCACCCCCCTCAGGTTTCAGAAATACTAACAAACATCATAATTAAATCCACATTATTATTAATTTAGAAAATAAACACACATACAACTCCACTTTTTAATCTTTAATTACAAAAACTATTCTTACCACCACTTCTTGCAATCTTCCTCACAATCCAATATAACAGTTGACATGACAGTTACAGGTCAACTGCCGCATCATTAGCTATCAAATGTTGGCTTGTCTGCCATTCAGAGCCGAGAGTGAAGAGCATGTTCAACAATGCTCCACAATGCATACGGCTCAAACATTAGACAAACACAACCGCTAATCATTAATTCAGAAAAAAAAACATCATCAAATAAAAAAAAAAAAAAAAAAAGCCTTTTTGTGACTGATGTCTTCTTTTTTTCTCCTTTTTCGAATAAATAAAATCAATGGGCCTCATCATAGCATTCGCTCGATACCTTCTGTAGGTCATCAGAGAAATGAGAATAACAAGTTTTGGCCATACAACACTTCTGCATATTAGAATATTTGTTCAACAAAGTCTACTGAGAGGACCTATCACAGTCCTTGTAATATACCGGTTTCTTAATAACAAGAAGTTAATATTGACCAAAACAATTTAACACCATAAGCAGTTACTATTCTGTGCACTGCTGGGCCTCTTCATTTGTAAAATTCAAAGTCAGTGTCAGGTTTCTTCACATTGGTTCGATAACCCTTCTCAAGTCCTTGGGAGTATGACGTACCGGTTCTTGCGTACTGCATGCATTCCAGCTTCTTGACAATAGCTGCAATCTGTAGTAGTCAAAAACCACAAGAAAATTGGTTAATTAAATGTATCTGATATCGTGATCATATTCTAAAAACATAAAATAACCTAATGAGCTAGAGCCCAACCTGTCCCACCCAATAACTCTTCATCAACGGTCTGGTTTTTTTAAAGATTTACCCACCAGCCAGTTAAGCATAGGTCAATCATCTTGGTCTCGATTCTAACAAAGAAGTAACAAATAAAAGGAAAAATCATGGTTCCGCAGCAAGTTACTGGCTTAAATAATTTTGACCACAGCACATCTGCTGTAAACACTTTCTGTATCAATCACAGCTTTTGCTACAGTTGCAATGCCAAACCCTTGGACATGGTAAAAGGAGTTACATTCCCCTATTCTAGGTAATTGCTTCTTACAGGAAACCAGTAATTCTGTCAAGAGTAGGAATGAACAACGTAACCGAGCAATTCCGCTTGCTTAAAGTAGTAGTGTTAGAAATATCCTGTGACTAGCTAACACCAAAGCTTTTGAGATAAAGAAAGGTTCAAGTGACTCTTAGTGAGTAGATTAAAATGGTTGTTATGTGACTTGAAGAAAGAAACATGCAAAAGCTAAAAATTTTTCCTGCTAGACAGGATCAACTGCAATCGTAACACAAGTTACTTTCCATAGCATAATGAGCTTCTATAAAGAAATTGAAACCAACCTCTGCAGCACTGATTTTGTCAGGTCGAGAAACATAATCCTCCAAGTCCACCTCATCACTTAGGTTCATTTTAGCAGTGCAAACCTGGTAGACACCCAGCCATCATAAAGTAGATTAGACATATATGCAAGCAGACAACAGGGCAAGGAAAATTAATCCTCACACTAGACAAAATAACGACTAATTATAAAACTTTACAAATGGGAACGTGCACACCAACTATGCAACTACCTGAAAAACGAGCCTCTTTTGTCGTCTATCAGGCAAGGGAACTCAATTTTTCTATCAAGCCTCCCAGGACGTAAAGTGCAGGGTCCAAAGTGTCAGCACGATTGGTGGCCATAATAACCTAACGTTACTGTCTGGTCGAACCCATCCATCTAGAATAGCAGTAATTACAAAAAAAAGTCAATTAAAAAAAAAAATTATAAATCATTTCCTAATAATTTTTTCTCAGTTTTTTGGGATAATATTTTCATGATTAATTTCCAACAACCTCCATTAAGGAATCATTGAATTCCACTGTGTAATTCAGTCATACCTGATTCGTAACTCCATAGGATACGCTGAACCTCTCTATCAGCACACAGTTTGTCATCAAACCTAGCAGTGGCAATAGCATCTACCTCTCTATAAGAATTGCAGGAGCATTCTCTTTGGCAAGACGGAAAACATCACGAACCATTCGTGACCCGAAGGATAACAAACAAAAATGATATTATAACTAGAAAAAAGGCAATTATTACCAAACCAGACAAGGTAAAATCTATTCAAACTCTGCAAAAGAGATTAAAACTATCCATCAACAACACCAGTGTTGCAGTTATCGAGCCAACGAAGCAAATAGATAGTGAATCAGGCATATAGGAAATATCAGTCTAATGATAGAAAAAACAGTTGTGCATCCTTGAATTCATACCTCACCCAAATACTTCTGAACAAATTCAGAGCCAACACTCAATGAACGCTGCAGTTGTATGATTAGCAACTGCCTTGGCAAGCATGGTTTTTTCCAGTTCCTGGGGACCATACAACAAACTCCACGAGGAGGGTCTATCCCAATTTGCTTGTATATTCATGGTGAGTGAGTGGTAACTCCACAGCCTCACAATTTCCTGTTTTTGAATGTCACATCCTCCAATATCCTAACAACAGAAAATTATATGTCATAAATACTTCCATAAACCTTATATCTAACTATACTATTTTCTGAGTTTAAATTACATAAACCGCTAGGTTTTAGGATTTTATCTTCAGTTTTTATAAACATTTCACCCATTTTGACCATATCATTTTCATAAAGTATTTTTCATCCCTAACTATATGAAAAATCTATATCAAACAAGCCCTAATTCATAAACCCTACGCACTAATTACAATTACAGAAAAAAAAAAGGTTATCATCAACCTCTCCTGTCTTTAGTTTGATTTTACTATCGGAATTATCAGTAACACCCTTAGCCCTACAAATTGAAGCAGAAACTCACATTATACTTGACATCGGGCTTCTCCGACTGGCTAAGAAGCGAAATACGGAATCAGCTTCGGGCGGAGAACATCAACCAGAGCATTAGAATGCGGTGCAAGGCCACAGAAGCCGAGGGTTTAAAGTTCCCGATTAATCGTGCTAAGGATTCTAATAGTAATTGGACCCGGTGGTGGAATTGGTGATGACGCCGACGAGGGAGCTGGCGTTTCAGCTGGCTGAGCAGTTTAAGGCTTTGGGTTCTTGCTTGCATTTGAGGTGTGAGGTGGTGGTTGGAGGCATGGATATGTTGAACCAAGCCAAGGGTTTAATGAATAGACCCCATGTGGTTATTGCTACTCCTGGCAGGATTAAGGTCTTGCTTGAGGAGGATCCTGATATTCCTCAGGTGTTTTCTAGAACCAAGGTACGTGTGCTATAAGTTTCATGTAGAATTTGGATTCCGGTGTTTATGTAGTGGTTTCCATTGTAGAAATTGTTGGACATGTAGTTGTTCATTAGTAGTAACTTTTATTGGTGTCATTGTTATTTAACATGATCTGTTGAATTTCAATTTCGTCATCCTGATAGGGAGACTGAAAGGCTTAGTAGAGAATTTAGAAGTGGTGGTCATGAAGTATTACATAGCTGCTGTCCATTGTTTTCACCTAGGGGTTTTGGGAGTTGGGTTTAAGTCAAGAGGTGTCAGAGGAATGGTGTGTTAAAATCTTTACTTTGATTTTCTCTTGTTTGAAGGAAAGAAGGCCGGAGAATTTCAACACAGTCTTTGTTTGTGTGTTCTTACTCTACCTAGGTTCTGTATGTGTTCCTAGAATGGGTGTAGCATTTCTTCCTTTTGCGATTGTTCCGAAATTTACTCATTTGTATTCTTTTATACTGTGTCCAGTTTCTGGTGTTGGATGAAGCAGATAGAGTTTTGGATGCTGGCTTTGAAGAGGAGTTAAGAGTAGTTTTCCAGTGCTTGCCAAAGAATAGGCAGACACTCTTATTTTCTGCAACAATGACTAGTGACTTACAGACACTGCTAGAGCTTTCTGCAAACAAAGCATTCTTCTATGAGGCATATGAAGGCTTCAAGACAGTTGAGACTCTTAAACAACAATATATTTTTATCCCAAAAAATGTGAAGGATGTTTATCTTGTGCACATTTTGTCTAAGATGGAAGATATGGGTGTTCGCTCTGCTATCATATTTGTCTCCACCTGCAGGTATCAATTCATTTTAGCATTACAGCTTAATCTTTGAGTAAACTCTTCCTAGTTTTGGAGTTATTCGGTTTATCTCTGTCATCTTGCTATGTTGAATTACTCGATCAATAAACTTCTGCAAGATTGGTTTATATCTTTTTTGGCAGCTTTAATGTGACAGAGATGTTTACTTCTGTTAGGAATAAAAATGCTCTTCTTTGGCAATTTTTTACTTCTATTTTCCAAAATTTGTATTTCTACTGAGTCAGGCTCTTTCTTACATTTATGTTTTAACCGTTGTACAGAAGTTGTCACCTCTTAAGTTTATTACTGGAAGAACTGGAACAGGAAGCTGCAGCACTGCATTCATTCAAATCCCAGTCTTCAAGGCTTTCTGCACTTCATCGATTTAAATCAGGACAAGCTACTATATTGCTTGCCACTGATGTTGCCAGTCGTGGTTTGGACATTCCTACAGTCGATCTTGTGATAAATTATTATATTCCAAGGTTATATTCTAATTTTACATTTTCTTGTCTATGAATCTTTCATGATGTAGAATCTGACAATCAGACCATTTTAGATACCCGAGAGATTATGTTCATCGTGTGGGGCGTACTGCAAGAGCAGGCAGAGGTGGGCTTGCTGTGAGCTTCGTTACCCAAGTGAGTACTGTCATGTCCTAGAGAGGATATTCTGAGTTTCTTAAAATTAATCTTCACCATCCTATTGACGTTGACCATTCACCTAAATCTTCATGTAATTTCCAAATTAAATCTTTATTACTTAGATGAATCCTTCAATGCATGAAGTGCTCGGTGAGGTCTATGAATTGAATTTTTTTACTTTTGAGTTTCTGCATAGCTCTAAGGAACATGAGATCTGTAATTCTAAATCATGCTTATTTCACTTAACCTGGGAGACCTGGGAATTTTGCAGAATGATGTAGATCTCGTTCATGAAATAGAAGCTGTTATCGGAAAACAACTAGAAGAATTTGAATGCAAAGAGAAAGATGTTCTTTCTGATATTACTAGGGTAAGAAAATATCTCTTCAAAGACTACATTGGTAACTGTATCTTGACGGCATTCCAAAATTGCTTAAGCATTGAAACTTTTGCAGGTCTACAAGGCCAGACGAGTCGCGACAATGAAGTCGATGGACGATGGATTCGAAGAGAAAGCCAAAGAACGGAAAAAACAGAAATTGAAAACACTAGCAGAAAAAGGATTATTGAAGAAAAAGAATAAAAAGAGAAAAAGATCGGTTAATTAGTTTGCTGATTGTAAATTATCTTCCTTGTTTACACATTTAAGCTGCATTTTGTCCAGCAGCTTCCTAGAAATTCTGAGTTTTAACTCTGAGATTACTTAATATTATTGATGATATGTGTTAAACATGCTGCCATCGTTCATACTGACTAAGCCAGGATCGAACTCTCTTTTGCTTTTTTCGTCTTGTCAAAGAGTTGAAAATAGATAGAAGGGCAGAGGCCTTTGGTGTACCCTCTTATTATTAATTTTTGTTAAATTTCTGTGAAACATTTTTCTTTTTGAAATCATATTAGCCCACATAAATTTCTCAGTTCCAAATTTGATGTCATTAACCCCCCTCAGGGTTTCAGAAACAACTAACAAACAAATCATAATTAAATCCACATTATTATTAATTTAGAAAATAAAACACACCATACACCCAACTTTTTAATCTTTAATTACAATACTATGCTTACACCACTTCTTGCATCTTCCTCACAATCCAATAACAGTTGACATGACAGTTATCAGGTCAACGTGCCGCATCATTAGGCTATCAATGTTTGGCTTGTCTGCCATTCAGAGCCGAAGAGTGAAGAGCGAATAGTTCAACATGCTCCACAATGCATACGGCTCAAACATTAGACAAACACAACCGCTAATCATTAATTCAGAAAAAAAAACATTCATCAAATAAAAAAAAAAAAAAAAAAAGCCATTTTGTGACTGATGTTTCTTTTTTTTCTCCTTTTCGAATAAATAAATCAATGGGCCTCATCATAGCATTCGCTCGATACCTTCTGTAAGTCATCAGAGAAATGAATAACAAGTTTTGGCCATACAACACTTCTGCATATTAGAATATTGTTCAACAAAGTCTACTGAAGGACCTATCACGGAGTCCTTGTAATACGGTTCTTGTAATAACAAGAAGGTTAATTTTGACCAAAACAATTTAACAAACATAAGCAGTCTACTATTCTAGTGCACTGCTGGGCCTCTTCATTTGTAAAATTCAAAGTCAGTGTCAGGTTTCTTCACATTGGTTCGATAACCCTTCTCAAAGTCCTTTGGGAGTATGACGTACCGGTTCTTGCGTACTGCATGCATTCCAGCTTCTTGACAATAGCTGCAATCTGTAGTAGTCAAAAACCACAAAGAAAATTGGTTAATTATGTATGTATCTGATATCGTGATCATATCTAAAAACATAAAATGAACCTAATGAGCTAGAGCCCAAACCTGTCCCCACCCAATAACTCTTCATCAACTGTCTGGTTGTTTTAAAGATTTACCAACCAGCCATTAAGCATAGGTCATCATCTCAACAATTAATGGTCTCGATTCTAACAAAGAGTAACAAATAAAAGGAAAAGATCATGGTTCCGCAGCAAGTATACTGGCTTTAAATAATTTTGACCACAGCACATCTGCTGTAAACACTTTCTGTATCAAATCACAGCTTTTGCTACAGTTGCAATGCCAAACACTTGGACATGGTAAAAGGAGTTACATTCCCCTATTCTAGGTAATTGCTTCTTACAGGAAAACCAAGTAATTCTCGTCAAACGAGTAGGAATGAACAACGTAACACGAGCAATTCCTGCTTGCTTAAAGTAGTAGTGTTAGAAATATCCTGTGACTATTAACACCAAAGCTTTTGAAGATAAAGAGAAGGTTCAGTGACTCTTAGTAGAGTAGATTAAATGGTTTTGTTATGTGACATTGAAGAAAGAAACATGCAAAAAGCTAAAAAGATTTTCCTGCTAGACGGAGTCAACTGCAATCGTAACACAGTTACTTTCCATAGCATAATGAGCTTCTATAAGAAAATTGAAACCAACCTCTGCAGCACTGATTTTGTCAGGTCGAGAAACATAATCCTCCAAGTCCACCTCATCACTTAGGTTCTTTTAGCAGTGCAAACCTGGTAGACACCCGCCATCATAAATAGATTAGACATATAATGCACAGCACAACAGGGGCAAGGAAATTAATCCTCACACTAGACAAAATAACGACTAATTATAAAACTTTACAAATGGGAACGTGCACACCAACTATGCAACTACCTGAAAAACGAGCCTCTTTTGTCGTCTATCAGGCAAAGGGAACTCAATTTTTCTATCAAGCCTCCCAGGACGTAAAGTGCAGGTCCAAAGTGTCAGCACGATGGTGGCCATAATAACCTTACCGTTAACTGTCTGGTCGAACCCATCCATCTAGAATAGCAAGTAATTACAAAAAAAAGTCATTAAAAAAAAAAATTATAAATCATTTCCTATATTTTTTCTCAGTTTTTGGGGATAATATTTTCATGATTAATTTCCAACAACATCCATTAAGGAAATCATTGAATTCCACTGTGTAATTCAGTCATACCTGATTCAGTAACTCCATGAGGATACGCTGAACCTCTCTATCAGCACCAGTTTGTGCATCAAACCTAGCAGTGGCAATAGCATCTACCTCATCTATAAAGATAATTGCAGGAGCATTCTCTTTGGCAACGGAAAACTCACGAACCATTCGTGGACCCTGAAGGATAACAAACAAAAATGATATTAAACTAGAAAATAGCAATTATTACCAAACCAGACAAGGTAAAATCTATTCAAAACTCTGCAAAAGAGATTAAAACTATCCATCACAACACCAGTGTTGCAGTTATCGAGCCAACGAAGCAAAGTAGATAGTGATATCAAGGCATATAGAGAATATCTTCTAAATGATAGAAGAAAACAGTTGTGCATCCTTGAATTCATACCTCACCCAAATACTTCTGAACAAATTCAAGCCAACAACTCTAATGACGCTGCAGTTGTATGATTAGCAACTGCCTTGGCAGCATGGTTTTTCCAGTTCCTGGAGGACCATAAAGCAAAACTCCACGAGGAGGGTCTATCCCAATTTGCTTGTATAATTCATGTGAGTGAGTGGTAACTCCACAGCCTCACGAATTTCCTGTTTTTGAATGTCACATCCTCCAATATCCTAACAACAGAAAATATATTGTCATATAATACTTCCATAAACCTTTATACTCACTATACTATTTTCTGATTTAAATTACATAACCGCTAGTTTTAGGATTTTATCTTCATTTTTTTATAAACATTTCACCCATTTTGACCAATATCATTTTCATAAGTATTTTTCATCCCTAACTATATGAAAATCTATATCAAACAAGCCCTAATTCATAAACCCTAACAGCACATAATTACAATTACAGAAAAAAAAAAGGTTAACTTCATCAACCTCTCCTGTCTTTAGTTTGATTTTACTATCGAAATTATCAGTAACACCCTTAGCCCTACAGAATTGAAAGCAGAAACTCCACATTATACGTGACATCGGGCTTCTCCGACTGGCTAAGAAGCGAAATACTGGAATCAGCTTCGGGCGGGAGAACATCAACCAGAGCATTAGAATGTCGGTGCAAGGCCACAGAAGCCGAGGTTTCAAGAGTTCCCGATTAATCGTGCTAAGATTCTAAGTAATTGGCCCCGGTGGTGGAGCCGACGATGCCGTTGTTCTGATCAACCATCTCCATGAACTGTCCAATACCAACCCCCGGCCCCCCCAAGATTGGATCCGCTTGACCTCCTCTTGGGCGCGAAGGAGTTCACGTTTCAGATTCTTCTGTTCGTCTTTGACGTACTCTTCTTGGATGTCGATGAACTCGAGCTGGCGTTGGAGGGATTTGAGGCGACTGTAGAGGTCATCTTCATCAGAAAATTGGTGGTCGTTGGAGCCGCCGTGGAGGTCGGGTCTTGTGGAGGGGAGTGATGGCGGAGGGTCGAGAACCATCGCAGCTGCCATTGTTGGAGATTGAGAAGACGGAGTGAGAAGCAAGAAATAAGGAAAGAGCAAAAACCCAAACAAAAAACGCAAAGAAAAAACGTTGAGGGGGTTTAATAATGGGTAATTCTATGGTAGTAACCAATTTTACTAATAAGTGGATTAACCTTTATTAAAATTATATATAGTAGCTGTATTATTAATATATTATCCGTATTATAATTTAGGTTAATAAATTGGTTAGTAAAATTCGTTAGTAGGCCATAGTATTACTGTATTGTTAATTAGGAAAGTAAATAAGTATTGCTAACACTACTACATAGGGGTTTTTTTGTTATTTCCGAAACGTTGAGGGGGTTTAATAGCATTGAATTTGGAATGAGAAATTTATGTGGGCTAATATGATTTCAGAAAAAGAAGAGTGTTTCACAGAAATACAACCAAAATTAACATCAAGAGGGGACACCGAATGCCTTTGCCGTTCCATCTATTTTAATTGTTCAACTCTTTGATAACCCGAAAACGGCAAAGGAGATTAGGAGAGTTCGATCCTGGTCGAGGATGAACCACATAGTATCTATAATATAAAGTAATCTCAGAGTTAAACTCAAAATTTCTAGGAAGCTGCTGGACAAAATGCAGCTTAAATGTGTAAACAAGATAACTTACAATTAGCAAACTAATTAACCGATATTTTTCTCTTTTTTTTCTTTTTCTTCAACAATCCTTTTTGTGCTAGTGTTTTCAATTTCTGTTTTGATAATTTACAATTAGCAAACTAATTAACTGATCTTTTTCTCTTTTTCTTCAATAATCCTTTTTCTGCTAGTGTTTTCAATTTCTGTTTTTTCCGTTCTTTGGCTTTCTCTTCGAATCCGTTGTCCATCGACTTCATTGTCGCAATTTGTCTGGCCTTGTAGACCTGCAAAAGTTTCAATGCTTAAACAAATTGGAATGCTGTCAAGATCAGTTACCAAAGAAGTCTTTGCAGAGATCTTTTCTTAAATCTTACCTTAGTAATATCAGAAAGAACATCTTTCTCTTTGCATTCAAATTCCTCTAGTTGTTTTCCGATAACAGCTTCTATTTCATGAACGAGATTTACATCATTCTGCAAAATTTCCCAGGTCTCCGAGTTTAAGTGAAATAAGCATGATTTAGAATTACAGACCTCATGTTCCTTAGAGCCATACAGAAACTCAAAAGTAAAAAATTCAATTTGTAGACCTCACCGAGCACTTCATGTATTGAAGGATTCATTTAAGTAATGAAGATTTACTTGAAAATTACATGAAGATTTAGGCGAATGGTCAATGTCAATAGGATGGTGAAGAATAATTTTAAGAAACTTGGAATATCATCTCTAAGATATGACTGTACTCACTTGGGTAACGAAACTCACAGCAAGCCCGCCTCTGCCTGCTCTTGCAATACGCCCCACACGATGAACATAATCTCTCGGGTATCTAAAATGGGCTGATTGTCAGATTATTCATGAAAGATTTATAGACAAGAAAACGTAACATTAGAATATAACCTTGGAATATCATAATTTATCACAAGATCGACTGTAGGAATGTCCAAACCACGACTGGCAACATCATATTAATCCCTAAGCTTTGAAAATTTATTATAAACACACCCTTTTACAATGACTAACTGGCCTGCCAAGTGGAATCACAGGTAATGAGGTAATCCCGTTGTGTGATGCGATGCGACTGCTAACTAGCCACCATGTAATCGAAAAAGAAGGTGAAAATAGAAGAGGAAGAGCACAAAAAGAGAGCACATTGTGCCATCCTTTAATTCATACCTCACCAAATACTTCTGAACAAATTCAGAGCCAACAACTCTAATGAACGCTGCAGTAGTATGATTAGCAACTGCCTTGGCAAGCATAGTTTTTCCAGTTCCTGGAGGACCATAAGCAAAACTCCACGGGGGGGGGTCTATCCCAATTTGCTTTTACAATTCGTTGTGAGTGAGTGGTAACTCCACAGCCTCACGAATTTCTGTTTTTGAATGTCACATCCTCCAATATCCTAACAACACAAAATTTGTGTACAGACATAAGCTAAGAATATATAAGCAAAAGCAAGAGACAAGTACTAAAACGAGAAAGACTTGGAGCTCCTTTGCAACCTTCCAGAAAGTTTTTGAGATTTTCTCTTGCAGTTCTTAATAGGTGGGAAATGGCCTAGGCCTGCACGCCTGCTATCCAAGTACAGCTCAAAACCAATCCCACTTGTAAATCTTGTTTATCATTTATACTTTATACAAGTCATTCATTCACAAGGCTTATGCTCTTTACGTAGCATTTATACCACATGACAATAAATTTGTTGATAATTTCACATTTTACAGCTAATATAGAAGTTATCTCTATGTTTTTCCCCCTTTTTAGGAACCTTCAGAATTATCATGTTTTTCTTCTAATTTGCCTTTCAGTATCAAAAGAAATTCATCAACGCATCTCTCACTAAAAAAGGGATCACATTTTGGTCAGTACTTGAAGTACAATTTATCTAATTCTTAGCAGTTAAGATTTTATATAAAATTACTAAACTCAATATGCAGTGTACCCATGTTACTGACCTGATAAAATTAGATTGCCTAGTATGACATTATACACGTTAATCTAAGCTCAAAATTCTTCTATTATACTTAATAAAACTTGCCGTACTTTTTCCTTCGAAAATTTCTTCCATAATTATCCCCAGCCAATAGCAAAACATCAAGCAACATAAAAAACCTAATATAACATACTTCCATAAAACTTTATACTCAATATACTATTTTCTGAGTTTAAATCTACATAAACCGCTAGCTTTTAGGTTTATCTTCAGTTTTTTATAACACTTGAACCCATTTAGCCCATATCATTTTCATAAGTGTCTTTTATCAAACAAGCCCTAATCATAAACCCTAACAGCACATATTCCAATTACAAAAAAAAAGGTTAATTTCATCAACCTCCCCGTCTTTAGTTTGATTTTAATATCGGAATTATCATATACGCCCTTAGCCCTAAAGATTGAAAGCAAGAACTCACATTGTACGTAACATCGGGCTTCTCCGACTGGCTAAGAAGCGAAATACTGGAATCAGCTTCGGGCGGGAGAACATCAACCGAGCATTGAATGTCGGTGCAAAGCCACAGAAGCCGGTTTCACAGCTCCCGATTAATCGTGCTAAGAATCTAACATAGTAATTCGACCGGTGTGGTAGCCCCCGATGCCGTTGTTCTGGTCAACCATCTCCATGAACTGTCCGATAACTAACGGCCACATTCCATAATTTAGAAAACTTAAAGTTCGTAGATTTGATTAAAAACAATGGCTAGTTAGGCTGTATGATGTGTTAAATCCTACAGTCTTTGGTGGCCTCTGGTCTTGTCTGTAGCCATGAGGGGACTCATACCCTAGACTTTGTAGAAGCAAACCATCGGTCTAAACTAAGTACTCTTATGGAATAATGCTTATTTTACTCACTTTAGTCAAATATTTGGGGTAAACAAAATTTACCATTAACTTGATAGGAATTGTATGTAATGGGACCATTTTAACTTGAACTTTCTAGTGTGGGAATTGTGTTTGACTTAGGATTCCGACAAATAAATCTTATGAGTTTCCTAATCAGTTGAATCGTTTAAGAATAATCCCCAACATATCAATAAATGGAGGCTCTATCGAATTCTTAATTGAAAATTGGGGCATCCAAGTATCCCTAACTTTGCGCTAATGAATATATCCAAGATTCCCTCGATACCTTCTATAAGGTCATCAGAGAAGAAATAGACAAGTTTTGGCCATACAACACTTCTGCATATGATGATATTTGTTCAACAAAGTCTACTGAGAAGACCTATCACAGAGTCCTCCTAATTTATGATAACAAGAAGGTTAATATATGACCAAAACAATTTAACAAACATAAGCAATGTACTGCTCTTGTGCACTGGTGGCCCTCTTCATTTGTAAAATTCAAAGTCAGTGTCAGGTTTCTTCACATTGGTTCGATAACCCTTCTCAAAGTCCTTCGGGAGTATGACGTACCGGTTCTTGCGTACTGCATGCATTCCAGCTTCTTGACAGATAGCTGCAATCTGTAGTAGTCAAAAACCACAAAGAAAATTGGTTAATTATGAATGTATCCGATATCATGATCATATATTCGTATTGTAAAAACATAAAATGAACCTAATGAGCTAGAGCCCAATCCTGTCCCCACCCACTAACTCTTCATCAACTGTCTGGTTTTTTAAGGATTTACCAAGCAGCCAAGTTAAAGCATAGGTCAATCATCTCAAAACAAATTAATGGTCTTGATTCTAACAAAGAAATAAAAAAATAAAAACGAACGAGATCAATGGTTCTGCAGCAAGTACACTGGCTCTTAAATAATTTTGACCGCAGGACATCTGTTGTCAACACTTTCTGTATCAAGATCACAGCTTTTGCTAAAGTTGCAATGCCAAACACTTGGACATGGTAAAAGGAGGTACATTCCCCTATTCTGGGTAATTGCTTCTTACAGGAAAACCAAGTAATTCCCTTGAAAGGAGTAGGAATGAACAACGTAACATAAGAGCAATTCCTGCTTGCTTAAAGTAGTAGTGGTTAGAAATATCCTGTGACCAGCTAACACCAAAGCTCTTGAATATAAAGAGAAGGGTTCAAGTGACTCTTAGTAGAGTAGATTAAAATGGTTCAGTTATGTGACATTGAAGAAAAGAAACATGCAAAAAGCTAAAAAGATTTTCCTGCTAGACGGGAGTCTACTGCAATCGTAACAAAAGTTACTTTCCATAGCATAATGAGCTTCTATAAAGAAAATTGAAACCAACTGACCTCTGCAGCACTGATTTTGTCAGGTCGAGAAACATAATCCTCCAAGTCCACCTCATCACTTAGGTTCATTTTAGCAGTGCAAACCTGGTAGACACCCAGCCATCATAAAGTAGATTAGACATATAATGCACAGCAGACAACAGGGGCAAGGAAAATTAATCCTCACACTAGACAAAAATAACGACTAATTATAAAACTTTACAAATGGGAACGTGCACACCAACTATGCAACTACCTGAAAAACGAGCCTCTTTTGTCGTCTATCAGGCAAAGGGAACTCAATTTTTCTATCAAGCCTCCCAGGACGTAGTAGGGCAGGGTCCAAAGTATCAGCACGATTGGTGGCCATAATAACCTTAACGTTAACTGTCTGGTCGAACCCATCCATCTAGAATAGCAAGTAATTACAAAAATAAAAGTCAATTAAAAAAAAAAAAATTATAGATCATTTCCTAATAACTTTTCTCAGTTTTTTTGGATAATATTTTCACGATTAATTTCCAGCAACCTCCATTAAGGAAATCATTGAATTCCACTGTGTAATTCAGTCATACCTGATTCAGTAACTCCATGAGGATACGCTGAACCTCTCTATCAGCACCAGTTTGGGCATCAAACCTAGCAGTGGCAATAGCATCTACCTCATCTATAAAGATAATTGCAGGGGCATTCTCTTTGGCAAGACGGAAAACATCACGAACCATCCGTGGACCCTGAAGGATAACAAATGAAAATGATATTATAACTAGAAAAATAGGCAATTATTACCAAATCAGACAAGGTAAAATCTATTCAAAACTCTGCAAAAGAGAATACAACTATCCATCAAAAACACCAGTGCTGCAGTTATCCAGCCAACAAAGCAAAGTAGATAGTGATATCAAGGAATATAGATAAATATCATTCTAAATGATAGAAGAATAACAGTTGTGCATCCTTGAATTCATACCTCACCCAAATACTTCTGAACAAATTCAGAGCCAACAACTCTAATGAATGCTGCAGTAGTATGATTAGCAACTGCCTTGGCAAGCATAGTTTTTCCAGTTCCTGGAGGACCATAAAGCAAAACTCCACGAGGAGGGTCTATCCCAATTTGCTTGTACAATTCGTTGTGAGTGAGTGGTAACTCCACAGCCTCACGAATTTCTTGTTTTTGAATGTCACATCCTCCAATATCCTAACAACACAAAATTTTGGTACAGACATAAGCTAAGAAATATATAAGCAAAAGCAAGAGACAAGTACTAAAACGAGAAAGACTTGGAGCTCCTTTGCAACCTTCCAGAAAGTTTTTTAGATTTTCTCTTGCAGTTCTTAATAGGTGGGAAATGGCCTAGGCCTGCACGCCTGCTATCCAAGTACAGCTCAAAACCAATCCCACTTGTAAATCTTGTTTATCATTTTATACTTTATACAAGTCATTCATTCACAAGGCTTATGCTCTTTACGTAGCATTTATACCACATGACAATAAATTATGTTGATAATTTCACATTTTACAGCTAATATAGAAGTTATCTCTATGTTTTTCCCCCTTTTTTAGGAACCTTCAGAATTATCATTGTTTTTCTTCTAATTTGCCTTTCACTATCAAAAGAAATTTATCAATGCATCTCTCACTAAAAAAGGGGCACTCTAATTTTGGTCAGTACTTGAAGTACAATATTATCTAATTCTTAGCAGTTAAGATTTTATATAAAAGTTACTAAACTCAATATGCATTGTACTACATGTTACTGACCTGATAAAATTAGATTGCCTTAGTATGACATTATACACGTTAATCTAAGCTCAAAATTCTTCTATTATACTTTAATAAAATCTTGCCGTACTTTTTCCTTGGAAAATTTCTTCCATAATTATCCCCAGCCAATAGCAAAACAGTCAAGCAACATAAAAAACCTAATATAACATACTTCCATAAAACTTTATATCTCAATATACTATTTTCTGAGTTTAAATCTACATAAACCGCTAGCTTTTAGGTTTTTATCTTCAGTTTTTTATAAACATTTGAACCCATTTTGACCAATATCATTTTCGTAAAGTGTCTTTTATCAAACAAGCCCTAATTCATAAACCCTAACAGCACATAATTCCAATTACAAAAAAAAAGGTTAATTTCATCAACCTCCCCCGTCTTTAGTTTGATTTTAATATCGGAATTATCAGTAACGCCCTTAGCCCTAAAGAATTGAAAGCAGAAACTCACATTGTACGTAACATCGGGCTTCTCCGACTGGCTAAGAAGCGAAATACTGGAATCAGCTTCGGGCGGGAGAACATCAACCAGAGCATTAGAATGTCGGTGCAAAGCCACAGAAGCCGAGGGTTTCAACAGCTCCCGATTAATCGTGCTAAGAATTCTAACATAGTAATTCGATCCGGTGGTGGAGCCCACGATGCCGTTGTTCTGGTCAACCATCTCCATGAACTGTCCGATAACTAACGGCACGGATTGGATCCGCTTGACCTCCTCTTGGGCGCGGAGGAGTTCACGTTTCAGATTCTTCTGTTCGTCTTTGACGTACTCTTCTTGGATGTCGATGAACTCGAGCTGGCGTTGGAGGGATTTGAGGCGACTGTAGAGGTCATCTTCGTCAGAAAATTGGTGGTCGTTGGAGCCGCCCTGGAGGTCGGGTCTTGTGGAGGGGAGTGACGGCGGAGGGTCGAGAACCATCGCAGCTGCCATTGTTGGAGATTGAGAAGACGGAGTGAGAAGCAAGAAATAAGGAAAGAACAAAAAGCCAAAGAAAAAACGTTGAGGGGGGTTTAATTATGAAAGTAAGTAACTAAGCATTGCTGACATAACCACATTAGGGGTTTGTTTGTTATTTCCGAAACGTTGAGGGGGTTTAAAGTATCAAATTTGGAATGAGAAATTTTCGTGGGCTAATATGATTTCAGAAAAAGAAAACTGTTCCACAGAAATACAACAAAAATTAGCATCAAGAAGGGGACACCGAAGGCCTTTGCCCTTCCATCTATTTTAATTGTTCAACTCTTTGACAACCCGAAAAAAGCAAAGGAGAGCTTGATCCTGGTCTAGGATGAACCACATATTATCTATAATATAAAGTAATCTCAGAGTTAAAATTTCTAGGAAGCTGCTGGACAAAATGCAGCTTAAATGTGTAAACAAGGAAACTAATTAGCAAACTAATTAACCGATCTTTTTCTCTTTTTCTTCAATAATCCTTTTTCTGCTAGTGTTTTCAATTTCTGTTTTTTCCGTTCTTTGGCTTTCTCTTCGAATCCATTGTCCATCGACTTCATTGTCGCAACTCGTCTGGCCTTGTAGACCTGCAAAAGTTTCAATGCTTAAGCAAATTGGAATGCTGTCAAGATCAGTTACCAATGTAGTCTTTGCAGAGATCTTTTCTTACCCTAGTAATATCAGAAAGAACATCTTTCTCTTTGCATTCAAATCCCTCTAGTTGTTTTCCGATAACAGCTTCTATTTCATGAACAAGATCTACATCATTCTGCAAAATTTCCCAGGTCTCCGAGGTTAAGTGAAATAAGCATGATTTAGAATTACAGACCTCATGTTCCTTAAAGCCATACAGAAACTCAAAAGTAAAAAATTCAATTTGTAGACCTCACCGAGCACTTCATGTATTGAAGGATTCATCTAAGTAATGAAGATGTACATGAAAATTACATGAAGATTTAGGCGAATGGTCAACGTCAATAGGGGTGAAGAATAATTTTAAGAAACTTGCAATATCATCTCTAAGATATGACTACTCACTTGGGTAACGAAGCTCACAGCACGCCCGCCTCTGCCTGCTCTTGAAGTACGCCCCACACGATGAACATAATCTCTCTGGTATCTAAAATGGGCTGATTGTCAGATTCATCATGAAAGATTTATAGACAAGAAAATAACATTAGAATATAACCTTGGAATATCATAATTTATGACGAGATCGACTGGCAATATCATATTAATCCCTAAGCTTTGAAAATTTATTATAAACACACCCTTTTACAATGACTAACTGGCCTGCCAAGTGGAATCACAGGTAATGAGGTAATCCCGTTGTGTGATGCGATGCGACTGCTAACTAGCCACCATGTAATCGAAAAAGAAGGTGAAAATAGAAGAGGAAGAGCACAAAAAGAGAGCGAGAGAAAGGGATTTGGTAGTCGTTAGTGAAGATGGAGTCACCATTCAAGGCGGATATAGTGAAGGGCAAAGTTGCTTTGATAACAGGGGGTGGTTCAGGAATCGGGTTTGAGATTTCTAAACAATTCGGTAAACATGGAGCCTCCATTGCAATCATGGGACGTCGCAAGCCAGTCCTTGATTCTGCTGTTTCTACTCTTCAATCTCTTGGGATTAAGGTATAATTTAATGTCTTGTCTTGAAAATTTTCTTGTCTGGGTTCTATTATAGATTATGGGTTGATTTGGCTGAGAAATTTCAGTTGAGTGCCTCTGGTTTATCATAAAATTTTCTTAACCACAGAATTATAAGCATGTTATAGTTTTTTTTCTGATTTGTTATTTGATGTGATGCAGTTTTATACATTTTATTTTCCCGTTTAGTTGATTATAGGATTCGTGATTGTGTTACTTTTGCTTTTGTTCTAGGGTAATGCTATGCGTACTAACGGATTTTACTAATCAGTGTACTAACTTAAAACATCGTACGGATACCATACGCATAGTATAGGTACTATATGTGATTTTAACAAAGGTAAGTACACTGATTAGTAAAATCCGTTAGTACGCAAAATATTATTGTAAGGTTTATATTATCATGTTTGAACTCTAACCCAAACATTGTGAGTTCAAACCACAAGCCTAACCATCTGGTTAAGCCTCATTGGTAATGAAACTTTCCTTCTTAATGTTGGCCATACTGATTTCAACTAAAACAAGAGAAATATGCTTTGTGGACCACCACGTATGTGATCTATGAGTTCGGTGATAAACAAACTTCTGACCAGCCCGATTGCATAGATGATATGGTATATAGCCATGCTTAAAAGGGTGTAATTAATGTTCTTTCAAGGTGAAGTTGAGGAAAAGTTGGTTGGACTTGGACCATTTTGGGAGCTTCATATCAGAAACAGCCACATGTTCTAAAAGCAGCAGTTATTAAAGCCCAGAAAAGAATTCCCAGCAGCGCCATCAACTTTTTCCCTTCAAAAATAAACCCTCATGATTAGTCCAGATAAATCGCTACCTATAATGGTTCCATTGTTTAAGAGAGGCAACCACATTAGAACCGGCATCTACCACTATCAATGCAATTTATTTCTAAAGTCATTTTGAATTTCTCTGGTGTACTCTTCCAGGTGAAATTTAAAACACCATACTTTGGGTAAACAAGAGTATTTTAGGTCAGCCTAATAGATTATAAAAGTGGAATCAACTCATCCACTTAGACCAGATATGTATCAACAATCTGCTCTAATCACTCTCTTTCCCCAATGTCCGCTCTCAACATTTGGTTCATTCCTAAGAACCTCAATCGAATTGGCACTCATAGCTAACTCTAGAGAATGAGGGAAGGAAGAGAGCTTTGAGCTTTGCGGTAAGCAAGGACTAGAGAAGGTTATACTTCAGGGAAGTTGAAAGTTTTCCAAAGAACTAACCATTTTCAGATTGAGTGCCTTCCTAGTTCCTGGTTTCCACAGATACAGAACAGTTACTTTTCAAAGGACTCACCGAAACCTGTCCAGTGTTAAGAACAGAGATAAAATTGGAAGTGAGAACAGGTCAGCAATGTAAGTTAAACGCAGCTAGAATTTAGAATAACTTATAACAGGTCTCACTCTCAAGCTCCTTACATGAGGCCATTGACTTTTCCGAGGATACAAGAAAGGGAGAAAAATGGAGAGAAACTCATACTGGGTTTGGCATGAAGATGAAGTTCTACTACACCCTACTTATCTTACATAAAGTATCACTCTTAACAAAGAAACAAAAGCCAGATCAATCAAGATAGTACACAAGTAGATTGGTCCCTTTACAGGGGTTAAATGAAATAACCCTGGTACCAATTATCTTACTCTTAACCAAAGACCCATAAGGCCAGAATCAAGCAAAATTAACAAGTCAAAATGCTGTAGATCACAGAAGCCCAACAAGAGAAAACTGGCTTTTGCAACACAATTCATTAATAACTTGGTCTATGAAAAAATTTACAACGGCAGAAGTAAGACTGGGCAGGGAATAAATTCAGCCAGCAGGTTTGCATCAACATGCTTGGAATGGATTGCTTCCATGCTTATGACCACTAAATCCAAATTCAAGTCATCTGCAACCTCACCAATTATAGCTGTCGGCTTGTTACCTTCCCCAAGTCTCTCTAATAATCTGAATTCCTGGAATCCACCTACAATTTATTATATTGAAAACTTATCAACATAAATGGTCAAGAGGATGAATTTCTAGAAAGTTGATAATTAGTATTTGATATACAGATTGGAAGCCTATAGTGAGAAATTTGCTCATCCCATATAAACAAACAAACCTTCTGAGAGATGCCAGCGGATGCTTGTCAATTGGCTTTCATGCTCCGGCAGTGATTCTCTCTGCTTTTCATCGATAACTGCAAAGAAAATTAAGTTCTATTTTCCCTGAAATCTCGCATTTAGAATGGTCTGTACCAGAAAACTTTGTCTCTACTGCTTAGTTCTATCACTAACATATTCTAAAATGGTATCAATAGAGTTCAGTTTACATACCCACAACAGTAATGTCAGCCCCATACTTCTTTGCTAAAGCAGCAGTAGTTGCAGCAGCCTATTAAAAATGTTACAACCATAGAATAAGATAATTGTAACCAAAGTAAGAGAATATACCATTCTATCAATAAAGCTAGAAGCTAGCAAGCCCATCCAGCTAATGAATACCACGTCAGCTAAAACTTTGCTTTACTCCTTCAGATTGGAAGAGAAACAATATTCTATAATTCCATTACAAGCACAAACTCATATGCACAGTAAATGTTTCACACAGTATTGTAAAAAATAGAAGAAAGCGCCATATTGATACTCCTAATAAACCTATGTCAATACTTGCAATATAAAAAATACGTAATATGTAACAAGGCACTTCAAATTCCTACAAATGTTCATCATTGAAAGGACAATATAATATCTCCATAAAGAAAGGTCACCTGTCTTGTTCCTTCAGAAAGATATGGATTCCGGTCTGTGATTGGCAGAAGCAGATGCTTGAAATGGGTAAATGCATCTGTACCTGAGCTGACTTCAGGTTCTGGAGACTTAGCCTCAGCTGATAGCAAGTAGACCAAGAACTCAAGTTATCGTACACAAATATAATTGTTGCATTCTTTACCCGTCAATATAACATGCAACCAAGCACAAAAAGAAATAACTGCAAATAGAATATACAATAAATAAAATAGCAAAGCAACAAATTCAATGAAAATTCAATTATTAAAGAAAATTTCCCTCCTTTTTGTAAATAAATGTCAAAAATAAGTTTCCTCATGAATATTTCTTCCAATGCAGTATCTTTGACATAAAATTAATTGGCAGTGCAAGTTAAACTCAGTTTGATTTCTCACGACAGCCAACAGAAAAGCTAACTAATGCGTGGAAATGCATTACTCTCTATCCTTCAATGCTTAAGACGCATACATGCTTGCTTCATTGTTGATAATTACCTTGCCACCACAAATAGCAAAGGTTTTTTTTTTTTTTTTTTTTTTTTTTTTTTTTTTCATGTCATATACTATAGTTAAACAATTGTGAAGCCTTCGATAATCAATATTTTTCTCAATTGTGATGGCTAAACTGCTCAACAAAATTTAGAACTTACAAGCTCAAAACTGAACTTTTCAAATGCTTCTATTCATCATTGTTAAAATTGCAAATCAAGCAATTTGTGAATTGCTCTACAAATGATCACCCCTGCCAATTACCTAGCAACATTTACAATTACAACATATTGAAAATTTTTTCAAAAGTCAATTAGACACACATGATCATTTCAACTTCATTTCATAACTCAATATCGCTTACTACGCGGCAAACGAACTAGAAACGCATGATCAAAAAAAAATTTTCATTAGCCAAAGAAATTACCTTTAGGTACGATTCTGCGAAACCTACGAATACAAAGCTTTCGAGCCTTCGATCGAAGAGAGACGAAGGAAAGTCAGAGAAACTTCGCAACGAAGAAGGAGAAGAAGTTGAAACGGCATTATTGGAGTTTTGGCGTGTTTCGAGGCTGCAGAGGGTACGGAACCAAGTAGTGAGCGAAAGCCATTGAAGTAAGCAAGCAAACGTGAACACAGTGTTTCGAGGCTGCAGAGGGACAAGAGGCGAAGATTGGGGTTGATTCCAGAACAGAAAAAAAAAAAAAATTGAAAGATGATAATCATTGCATGTAACGACGACGTCTGTTACAAACCGATGTGTTTTCTTTACTCGTGGCCACTGTCGATATTGTGCGTTGATTGCGGTTTTTGGTGGATCTCTTAATCTGACCGTTCATTATGGTAGTCCACTGGATTAAAAGTTTAGACGTCGTTTGCTACGTGTACGTTTGGCACAATTCAAAATGTTTTTTAACAGGCATTTTATTAAACACCATTTTAACTTAAATTAATTAAAGGTTATAGAGTTTGTAAATTTTAACAAATAGCCTTATTTTTATTAAGCTTAATTAAACATAATTAGGGGGTTAATTAGGATATAATAATTGTGTAATCTTTTAAAAATATATAAGTCTCAAAGAGTAAAAATCTTGCAAACAACCCCAACACCTTTTTTTCTTCCTCCCGTCATTAACGCATCTTCCCTAGTTTTGTTGTCTAAGCTTTGTCTACTATTTTCTTTCTCGCATCTTCTCTTCGTCTACATCTTCTTCTCAGTACATCTTCTTCTCCTCGCCAAATTCTTCTTTTCCTGCCTTTACCATACACCCTTCTTTTCCTCGCCATAACATTCCTTCGCAAAGATCTGTCTTTCCTATCCTAACATTTCGTCACGATGTATATCACCTTTGCATTTTATATTATTTACAAAGATTAATGATGGATTGGGTTTGGTTATGATTTGATTTAGTGGTTTACGTTCTGAGTGTGTGTGATGTAATGTAAGTTAAAAGGAGTGAGATTTGTTGATGATTCTTGCATGTGAGTGTTGGGGTGGTAGCACCGATTATAGGTGAAGTGATTGAAAATGTATTTTGGAGCTAATGGATCGCTTAAGCGATCTGGTATAAGTCTGGTATATAGCAGCAGATCGCTTAAGCGATGGTATTAGTCTAGCATATGGTAGCAGATCGCTTAAGCAATCGGGTATATGGCAGTAGATCGCTAAGCGATCAGGTTATTTATATCAGATCGCTTAAGCAATCCAGAAGCGATACACCAGATCGTTTAAGCGACTCTGCAAATGTTTTTTAAAATCTATATACCCTATATATCGGTAATAAACTTATTTAGCGATCGCTTATCAAATCTTTGATATTGTGAACGTTTGAGAAGAATTAATTCCGTAATGATTATAATATTAGTCATTTTTTATTATATTAATTATCTTTTTCAATTCAATAGAATGTGAAAAACACTTCGGTCTTTGTCGATTAAACACCGTACATAAAACTGAAAGATCTATTGATTCTATTATTTTGTTAGTTATTGCAAGAAAGTAATATATAACAAAATTATATTGATATAAAATTGAACTCTGCAAACATCTGCTATGCAATCTGTAGACCAAGACTAATAGACGAGATCGCTTAAGCGATTAAGGGTAATTTATCTTCAATATTTTTTCCATGTTTATGGACATATGTTTATTAGACGTAAAAGACTAATTTAATTAAAATATAATAACGGTCATGGTCCACTGAACGAATCGTATACCTGATAGTTTATATAGAGTAAAAACTTATACACCATATATGTTTAATATGTCGTAAATAACTAATTTAATTAAAATATAATAAGACTATGGTCCACTGAATGAATCTACACGATATGTTTAATATAGACGTAAACATTCTACATCATATATATTTAAATAGCTGTAAAAGAGGTAATTTAATTAAAATATAATAACGGTCAGGTCACTGCATGAAATCGTACACCTGATATGTTTAATATAGACGTAAACATTCTACACCATATATGTTTAATATAGTCTAAAATAACTAATTTAATTAAAATATAATAACGGTCCATGGTCCACTGAACGAATCGTATACCTGATGGTTTTAATATAGAGTAAACATTCTAACACCAATATGTTTAATAGCCGCAAAGAACTAATTTAATTAAAATATATAACAATCATGATCCACTAAACGAATCGTACACCTAATGTTATATAGACGTAAACATTCTACACCATATAGTTTATATAGCCGTAAAGAAATAATTTAATTAAATAGGTCTATTGAACAATGTAACCTATATGTTTAATATAGATGTAAACATTCTACATCATAATGTTTAATATAGCCATAAAAGAACTTATGTAAAAAATATAATAACGGTCATGGTCCACTGAACGAATCGTGCACCTGATATGTTTAATATAGACGTAACAACATTCACAACCATATATGGTTAAATAGCACATAAAAGAATTATTTAATTAAAAATATAAAACGGTCATGGTCCACTGAACGAATCGTACACCTGATATGTTTAATATAGACGTAAACATTCTACACCATATATGTTTAATAAGCATAAAAGAATTAATTAATAAAAATAATAACGGTAATCCACTAAACGAATCGTATACCTGATGTGTTTAATATAGACGTAAACATTCTCACCATATATGTATATAGCCGTAAAAGAACTAATTTAATTAAAATATAATAACAGTCATGATCCACTAAACGATCGTCACACCTGATATGTTTAATAGACGTAAAACATTCTACACCATATATGTTTAATATAGCTGTAAAAAACTAATTTAATTAAAATATATAACGGTCCATGATCCACTAAACGAATCGTCACCTGATATGTTTATATAGACGTAAACATTGCCAATATGGTTAATATAGCGTAAAAAAAATAATTAATTAATAGGTCTATTGAAACATCGTACACCTGATATTTTAATATAGATGTAAACATTCTCACCGTATATGTTTAAATAGCCAGTAAAAGAACTAATTTAATTAAAATATAATAACGGTCATGGTCCACTGAACGATCGTACACCTATATGTTTAATATAGAGCTTAAACATTCTACACTATATATGTTTAATATAGCCGTAAAGAACTATTTAATTAAAATATAATAATGGTCATGGTCCCTGAACGATCGTACACCTGATATGTTTAATAGAGACGTAAACATTCCACACCATATATGGGTTATAGCCCATAAAAAATTAATTTAATTAAATATAATAATAGTCATGGTCCACTGAACGAATCGTACACCTGATATGTTTAATATAGACGTAAACATTCTACACCATATATGTTTAATATAGCCGTAAAAGAACTAATTTAATTAAAATATAATAATGGTCATGGTCCACTGAATAAATCATACACCTTATATGTCTAAGATAGCGTTAATCGCTTAACCAATCTAGTGAAATACAATAAAAATAATCCAAATACGCTAGATCGCTTAAGAGATTTCATTTCTCGCTTAAGCGATCCTGTGTATTTAGACTTAGTCGCTTAAGAGATCTGGTTGTATTTATGTTATCGCTTAAGTGATTATATGTTTTTACACTTAGTCGCTTAAGCGATCACGAACAAGACAGAATCAATAAGTACTCAGACGCACGATCGCTTAAGCAATTTATTCTATCGCTTAAGCAATCTTTTGCTTTTAACCTTGGTCGCTTAAGCGATTACAAATCGCTTAAACGATCATGTCCGAGGCAGAATAAACTTTTGCCTAAACGCACAATCGCTTAAGCGATTCTTCGCTTTTACTATTGGTCGCTTAAGCGATCATGCACAAGATAATAAATAAGTGCCCAGACACAGGATCGCTTAAGCGATTCTTCGCTTTTACTGTAGATCGCTTAAGCGATCATGAACAAGACAATAAATAAGTGCCCAGATGCATGATCGCTTAAGCGATCCTTTGCTTTTAACGTTGGTCGCTTTAAACGATTTATAATCGCTTAAGCGATCATGTCCGAGGCAGAATCAACTTCCGCCCAGATGCACGATCGCTTATACCAGATCGCTTAAGCGATCTTCTGTCATATACTAGATCGCTTAAGCGATCTTTTGCTTTTACTCTTGGTCGCTTAAGCGATCATGTCCGACGCTTGGAATTTGCGTCGGCATCCTCCTCTTCAGTTTCAATTTCAACTCTTGTCCTCCCTTGTTCCGCCAGTAGAATGTCTTTCATCGATGCCGTCTCCTCTTCTGGTGGAGCAACTTCAGTCATCTGAAGTTGCTCCACCACAACTTCTTCTTCTCCATTTTTCGTAGACCCAGTGGTGCCTACAATTTGGGGAGTAAGATGAGTTTTTTTTCTGTTTCTTTAAGGATCTCAACCATTATAACTTAATTGGGAATGACAAGGAATGACAAAAATGTAAAGAGCAAAGAAATTGAGAAATTGTAGAAAATTGGAAGAAAAAACGAGAGAGAGAAAGGTGTTTGAATCCTGTTGTGAGAAAGAGAAGCTGAGAGAAATGTGTTTTACCTTTCAAATTTTAAATCAACTTCTCTTTATTATACTCTAACCTACAAATGTTTAAATCTTTTCATCTTAATCCCTTCTACAGTTCTACTGCTTTAATTACACTTAAGGGTGTCACGTCATATTTTTTAACAAAAAAAAAATAAAAAATAAAAAAGATTTTCATTATTTTGTTAAATGGAAACTTGGAATGACCACGCAGCTAAATTTTCTCTCATCATATACACCTAATTTAAAAAAGAACCAAAAACAAAACGACGCCCTTTTGTGCTGCTTACTTTCTGACTGGCATTTTTGCTTGGCGCCTCCTGTAGCAGTGGTTTGCCACCGGGATGAATAAGTTTGACGCAGTTCCTTCCGAGGAGGAAGGGGTTTACGTTCTTGAGTTGTGTTTGTGTAATGTAAGTTAAAAGGAGTGAGATTTGTTGATGTTTCTTGCATTGTGCGTAGTTGGGGGTGGTAGCACCGATTATAGGTGAAGATGATTGAAATGTATTTGGAGCTAATGGATCGCTTAACGATCTGGTAAGTCGGTATAGCAGCAGATCGCTTAAGCGATCTGGTATTAGTCTAGTAGGTAGCAGATCGATTAGCAATGGGTATATGGCAGTAGATCGCTTGCGTCGCTTATTTATATGCGCTTAGAGCATCCGTAAGCGCATCACCAGATCGTTTAAGCGACTCTGCAAATGTTTTTAAAAATCTATCTAACCCTTAATATATCGTTAATAACTTATTAGCGATCGCTTATCCTCTTTTGAACTCATTGTGAACTTTGAGTAGAAATTATATTCCGTAATGTTATATTTATATTTTTTATTTTATTATTTTTTAATTCAATAGATGTGAAAAGACACTTCGGTTCTTTGTCGATTAACACAAGTACCATAAAAGTGAAAGATATGTTATTACTTTATTTTTGTAGTTATTGGCAAGAAAGACTATATCTATCTTGTTTTGAACTCTGCCCCCATCTGCTAGCTGACTCTGTAGACATGACCCCTACTAGACGCGCATCGCGTCAGTGCACGATTCAGCGTACATTTACCTTCCCTCTTTCTTTTTCCCATGTTCTGGAGCATCGTTAATCTCGCCTCCTAAGCACCCTACTTGATATTCCCCTTCATAGCCGGCTATTGTCCAGCTGAACCGATGTCTTCCCTCCCCCCGCCCCTCCCCCCCCCCCCCCCCTCCCCCCCCCCCCCCCCCCCCCCCCCCCCCCCCACTGAATGTTTCATACGCGAGCTCCCCATTTAACCCCCTTATACTGTTATAGACGTCGTCACACTCACTCCCTTTCCTTACACTTCCTAGAGACTCTGGTCCCCTGCATGCACTCTCCCCCGCTAGTTTCCTCTCGCGTACACCTTCTCCCTCCTCCTTTTAATACGCTGTCCCGAGGTCCTTTCCCCCATATCCTCCGGTCATATGGTCGCTGCCTGCCTCGATTACCGCTCATGGTTTCCTATGCCGTCCCCACTTTCCACTCTTCTGTTTTCTCTAGTACCTCCCCTCCCTCCTTTACTTGATCACCCAGTCTCGCACGGTCCATGACCCGCATGCCACTAACGCCTGTTATCTCCCTAGTGTGTCCTATCGCTCGTACACCTCTCCGCCATACTCTGTTAATCTCGCGCGCCCAGCCCTCTTCCTTCCACTCTCACCCCATCATGCTCCGCTCCCGCACTCGTCCGCTAATCTGTTTGATCTCGACGTACACCTCTCCAGCTTGGTCCTCTCGCCCCGGTCCCCGCCTCCTCGCTTCACCGGTCCTCTGGCACCCCTCGTCCCCCCTACTCTGTTTCTACTAGCGTCCCCCTTAGTTCCTCATCTCTGTCTTGCCTCCGCCCTTCCCCGCCCTTCTTTCACCTTCCGCCTATCTCTCCACCGGTCCTGGTCCCCTGACCGCCTCGGCCCTGCTCTGTTTACTCTAGACGTAAACCTTCCCCACTCTCTTGGTTCCTATCGCCATTCACAGCCTCTTTCCTTCACCATTCACGTCACCCGGTCTGGTCCCTTGCACGAATCGTCCCCCCTATGCTCTGTTAATCTCGCCGTACCCATTACTTGCACTATATCTGTTCTCTACCCCTCCCAGCATTACTTTACTTAATTAATCTAATCGACAGGTCATCCTCCTACTCACGCAGCGTCTCCTGCATGGGTTTCGTCTCGCGTGTCCCCATTTCCCCCCGCCTCCTGTTTCCCTCTCGCGTCCACGCCCTACCTTCCTTCCCATATCCTACCGCGTCCGCTCCCCTCCCCGCTCGTTCCCGGCCTGTTATATAGCGTCCCCTTTCCCCCATCTATGTTTTCCTATAGCTGTCCACGCCCTCCGTCCTTCCCCTCTCATCACGGTCTGCTCCCCCTCCCCGCAGTCGCCCCCCTGCTTGTCTGCCTCTCGCCGTACCACCTTCTGCCTCTCTGTGTGTCCTTCTGCCGTCCCCAACTCCTTTCCTTCCCTCGGTCCTTGCCCAACTCGTCCACCCCCGCTCTGTATTCCTTGCTCGCTGTCCCCTTCTCACCCGTCTTGTTTCCTTCTCGCCCTTCACCACGCACTCCTTTCCTTCGTATCCTCCCGGTCCTGGTCCCCTGCAACGCTGTACACCTCCGATATGTTTATATGGCCTACCCATCTACACATATACTGTTTACTCCGAGCCGTAAAAGAACTCCTTTAGATTCTCACACTACTATGGTCATGTCCACCTGCACGCCTCGTACCCCTGATGGTACTCTAGACGTCCCACCCTTCCCCCCCTATAGGGTTAATCATCGCCTACACGCAAATAATTTCTTCAACTTAAGGTCCTAGTCAGTGGTCATGATCCGACTCGAAGATGATTGTTTAATATAATGGTCCCGATCTCTTACCCTATATGTTTAATCTCGCGTAACAAAAACCAAAACAGAACGCCTGATTTATTACAATATACTACATATACTATAGTTAAACAATTGTGAAGCCTTCGATAATCAATATTTTTCTCAATTGTGATGGCTAAACTGCTCAACAAAAATTTTTAGAACTTACAAGCTCAAAACTGAACTTTTCACAATGCTTCTATTTCATCATTGTTACAAATTGCAAAATCAAGCAATTTGTGAATTGCTCTACATAATGATCACTCACCTGCCAATTACCTAGCAACATTTACAATTACAACATATTGAAAATTTGTTTCAAAAGTCAATTCAAGACTACACATGATCATTTCAACTTCATTTTCATAAGCTTCCAATATCACTTACTACGCGGCAAATGAACTAGAAAACGCATGATCAAGAAAAGAAATTTTCATTAGCCAAAGAAATTACCTTTAGGTACGATTCTGCGAAACCTACGAATACAAAGCTTTCGAGCCTTCGATCGAAGAGTAGACGAAGCGAAAGTCAGAGAAAACTTCGCAACAGAAGAAGGAGAAGAAGTTGAAAACGGCATTATTGGAGTTTTGGCGTGTTTCGAGGCTGCAGAGGGTACGGAAACCAAGTAGTGAGCGAAAGCCATTGAAGTAAGCAAGCAAACAGTGAACACAGTGTTTCGAGGCTGCAGAGGGAACAAAGAAGGCGAAGATTGGGGTTGATTCCAGAACAGAAAAAAAAAATTGAAAGATGATAATCATTGCATGTAACGACGACGTCTGTTACAAACCGATGTGTTTTCTTTACTCGTGGGCCACTGTCGATTATTGTGCGTTGATTGCGGTTTTTGTGTGGATCTCTTAATCTTGACCGTTCATTATGGTAGTCCACTGGATTAAAAGTTTAGACGTCGTTTGCTACGTGTACGTTTGGCACAATTTCAAAATGTTTTAACAGGCATTTTATTAAAACACCATTTTAACTTAAAATTTAATTAAAAGGTTATAGAGTTTGTAAATTTTAACTAAATAGCCTTATTTTTTATTAAGCTTAATTAAACATAATTAGGGGGTTAATTAGGATTAATAAATAATTGTGTAATCTTTTAAAAATTATATAAGTCTCCAAAGAGTAAAAAATCTTGCAAACAAACCCAAACACCTTCTTTTTCTTCCTCCCGTCATTAACGCATCCTTCCCCTAGTTTTTGTTGCTTCTAAGCTTTGTCTACATCTTCTTCTTTCTCTGCATCTTCTTCTTCGTCTACATCTTCTTCTTCAAGTACATCTTCTTTTTCCTCCGCCATTAATACTTTCTTCTTCCTCTACCATTAACACCTTCTTCTTCCTCCGCCATTAACATCCTCTTCGCCAAAGATCTGTCTCTTCCTACTCCTAACATTTCGTCCAAGGATGTATATCACCTCTTTGCATTTTATATTTCTATTTACAAAGATTTAATGATGGATTGGGTTTGGGTTATGATTTTGATTTTTTCGTGTGGTTTAAGTTCTTGAGTGTGTTGATAATGTAGTAAAAGGAGTGAGATTTGTTGATGATTTTTTGCATTGTGCGTAGTTGGGGGTGGTAGCACCGATTATAGGTGAAGATGATTGAAAATGTATTTTGGAGCTAATGGATCGCTTAAGCGATCTGGTATAAGCTGGTATATAGCAGCAGATCGCTTAAGCGATTGGTATTAGTCTAGCAATATGGTAGCAGATCGCTAAGCAATCGGGTATATGGCAGTAGATCGCGTAAGCGTACAGGCTTATTTATATCAGTCGCTTAAGCAACCAGTAAGCGATACACCAGAGGTTTAAGCGACTCTGCAAATGTTTTTTAAAATCTATCTAACCCTTAATATATCGGTATAACTTATTAGCGATCGTTATCAAATCTTTTGATATTGTGAACGTTTGAGTAAGAAATTAATTCCGTAATGTTTATTTAATATCCATTTTATTAATTATAATTATCTTTTTCAATTCAATAGAATGTGAAAAAGAACACTCGGTCTTTGTGATTAACACGTACATAAAACTGAAAGATCTATGTGTATTCTATATTTTTGTTAGTTATTGGCAAGAAAGTAATATATAAAAAATATAATATTGATATAAAATTGAACTCTGCAACCCTTGCTATGCACTCTGTAGACCAAGACTAAATAGACGAGATCGCTAAGCGATAAGGGTAATTACTTCAATATTCTTTTCCATGTTTATGGACATATGTTTAATTAGAGGAAAAGAACTAATTTAATTAAAAATAATACGGTCATGGTCCACTGAACGAATCGTATACCTGATATGTTTATATAGACGTAAACATTATACACATATAGTTTAATATAGTCTAAATAACTAATTTAATTAAAATATAATAACGACTATGCGCACTGAATGAATCATACACCCGATATGTTTAATATAGACGTAAACATATCTAAATCATATATATTTAATATAGTGTAAAAGAGGTAATTTAATTAAATAAATAACGGTCATGGTCCACTGAATGAATCGTACACCTGATATGTTAATGACGTAAACATTCTACACATATATGTTTAATATAGTCTAAAATAACAATTTAATTAAAATATAATAACGGTCCATGGTCACTGAACGATGTATACTGATGTGTTTAATATAGACGTAAACATTCTACCCATATATGTTAATAGCCGCAAAAGAAATATTTAATTAAATATAATAACAATCATGATCCATAAACGAATCGTGACACATAATATGTTAATATAGACGTAAACATTCTACACCATATAGTTTAATATAGCGCGTAAAAGAATAATTTAATTAAATAGGTCTATTGAACAAACGTACACTAATATGTTTAATATAGATGTAAACATTCTACATCATATATGTGTAATATAGCCAATAAAAGAACTTATTAATTTAAAATATAATAACGGTCATGGTCCACTGAACGAATCGTGCACCTGATATGTTTAATATAGACGTAAACATTCCACACCATATATGTTGATATAGCCATAATAAAAGATTAATTTAATTAAAAATATAATAACGGTCATGGTCCACTGAACGATCGAGACACCGATAGTTTAATATGACGTAAACATATCTACACATATGTTTAATATAGCATAAAAGAATTAATTAATTAAATATAATAACGGTCTAATCCACTAAACGAATCGTATACCTGATGGTTAATATGACGTAAACATTCACACCATATATGTTTAATTAGCCGTAAAAGAACTAATTTAATTAAAAATATATAACAGTCATATCCACTAAACGAATCGTACACTGATGTTTAATATAGACGTAAACATTCTACACCATTATGTTAATATAGCTGTAAAAAACTAATTTAATTAAAATATAAAACGGTCATGATCCACTAAACGAATCGTACACCTGATTAGTTTAATATAGACGTAAACATTCTGCACTTATGTGTTTAATATAGCCGTAAAAAAAATAATTTAATTAAATAGGTCTATTGAACAAATCGTACACCTGATATTTTTAATATAGATGTAAACATTCTCACCGTATATGTTTAATATAGCCATAAAAGAACTAATTTAATTAAAATAAATAAAGTCATGGTCCACTGAACGATCGGACACTAATATGTTTAATATAGACTTAAACATTCTACACTATATAGTTTAATATAACCGTTAAAAGAACTTAATTAAAAAAATATAATAAGGTGCGGTCCACTGAACGAATGTACACCTGATATGTTTAATATAGACGTAAACATTCCACCCATATATGGTTAATATAGCCATAAAAGAATAATTAATTAAATATAATAATAGTCATGGTCACTGAACGAACGTATATAGATAGGTTTATATAAATGTAAATATTCTATACCATATATGTTTAATATAGCCGAAAAGAACTAATTTAATTAAAATATATAATGGGGCATGGTCCACTGAATAAATCATACACCTTATATGTCTAGATAGCGTTAATCGCTTAACCAATCTAGTGAAATACATATAAAAATAATCCAATACGCTAGATCGCTTAAGGATTTCTTTCTCGCTTAAGCGATCCTGTGTATTTAGACTTAGTCGCTTAAGAGATCGGTTGTATTTATGTTATCGCCTAAGTGATTATATGTTTTTAACTTAGTCGCTTAAGCGATCACGAACAAGACAGAATCAATAAGTACTAGACGCACGATCGCTTAGCAATATTCTATCGCTTAAGCATCTTTTGCTTTTAACCTTGCGGTAAGCGATAACAAATCGCTTAAACGATCATGTCGAGGCAGAATAAACTTTTGCCTTAAACGCACAATCGCTTAAGCGATTCTTGCTTTTACTATTGGTCGCTTAAGCGATCATGCACAAGATAATAAATAAGTGCCCAGACACAGGATCGCTTAAGCGTCTTCGCTTTTACTGTAGATCGCTTAAGCGATCATGAAAAAGACAATAAATAAGTGCCCAGATGCATGATCGCTAAGCGATCCTTGCTTTTAACGTTGGTCGCTTTAAACGATTTTAATCGCTTAAGCGATCATGTCCGAGGCAGAATCAACTTCCGCCAGATGCACGATCGTTATCCAGATCGCTTAAGCGATCTTGTCATATACTAGATCGCTTAAGCGATTTTGCTTTTACTCTTGGTCGCTTAAGCGATCATGTGACGCTTGAATTTGCGTCGGCATCCTCCTCTTCAGTTTCAATTTCAACTCTTGTCCTCCCTGTTCCGCCAGTAGAATGTCTTTCATCGATGCCGTCTCCTCTCTGGTGGAGCAACTCAGTCATTGAAGTGCTCCACCACAACTTCTTCTCTTCATTTCGTGACCCAGTGGTGTACAATGGGGAGTAAGATGATTTTTTTTCGTTTCTTTAAGGATCTCAACCATTATAAATTAATTGGGAATGACAAGAATGACAAAAATGTAAAGAGCAAAGAAATTGAGAATTGTAGAAAATTGGAAGAAAAAACGAGAGAGAGAAAGGTGTTTGAATCTGTTGTGAGAAAGAGAAGCTGAGAGAAAGTGTTTTTCCTTTCAAATTTTAAATCAACTTCTCTTATTTATACTCTAACCTACAAATGTTTAAATCTTTTCATCTTAATCCCTTCTACAGTTCTACTGCTTTAATTACACTTAAGGGTGTCACGTCATATTTTTAACAAAAAAAAAATAAAAAATAAAAAAGATTTTCATTATTAAATGGAATGGAATGACGCAGCTAATTTCTCTCATCATATACACCTAATTTAAAAAGAACCAAAAACAAAACGACGCCCTTTTGTGCTGCTTACTTTCTGACTGGCCATTTTTGCTTGGCGCCTCCTGTAGCAGTGGTTTGCCACCGGGATGAATAAGTTTGACGCAGTTCCTTCCGAGGAGGAAGTCGATGACGAAAATTCTGATAAGTGTATGTCAACGATATCTCGGCATTTTTTCGGCAATGAATTAGATAAACCTTCCTTCTCCATCTCCATTCTTGAGGTACTCTGTTTAATAAAACTCTGAAAAAATAAAAATAAGTATAAATATGAATTGTAACATCGGTTTTTTTCTCTTTGGAATTGTTGATAATGCTGATCCAGAATATGAAAGAAGAGTATGGGCTATTCGTGTGGCCTTGTAGCATCATCCTGGCGGAGTATGTTTGGCAGCAGAGATTCCGCTTTTCCGGGGTTAGCGTAGTCGAGGTATTTGCAATTCCTGTTCTCATTCAGCTCCCGTTTTGTGTTCTTAGTGTTGATTTCTTACGTGATTGTGAGTTTTGCAGCTTGGTGCAGGAACTTCACTGCCTGGATTGGTTGCGGCAAAAGTGGGTTCAGATGTAACTCTTACTGATGATTCAGATAGAATTGAGGTAGCTGTGTTTTAGATTAACTGTTCAGTTTTACGTTGCTACTCGGTCAAGTCAATTTAAATTCAAATGTTAGTCGATTCTTGAAATTTTTGAAGTAGAAGCTTCTGGTTTGCATATGGGATTTTTAAACCTCGTTTTTTTTTAAAAAGGAAAAAAGTATACACACAGAGTGTGTTATTATAATAAAATTCATCAGACATGTTGCAGTTAATTTGTGAAGTGTGTTTTTACTTGTTCTTGCAGTAAGTAGAATTTATTTTTGTGTGCAGGTGTTGGAGAATATGAAAAGTGTGTGTGAATTGAATAAACTGAAGTGTAAAGTAAACTATCAGAATTTATCTTCTCTGCTTTGCATATTTACTCTGAGAGCTTACATTTTGTTGGTAAAAATGAAAAAAATAAAATAAAATAAGGTTTTTAGTGTGAGCTGATATGCACCACAATACCCTTATGAGTTCTTTTAAAGGAGACTTAGTTCTATGCTGTAGGTAATGGGACTCACATGGGGAGTTTGGGATGCATCTGTCTTCAATTTACATCCGAAAATTATTCTTGGGGCTGATGTTTTTTATGATACAAGTGGTAAAACTGTTTGCTTTGGAAGCCTTGATTCGTTTGTATTTGTTTATATTTAATTGGCTTGAACTGAAATGTTGTTTCTGTTACTGTTGGTAAGCCTTTGATGATCTCTTTGCCACCGTGACATTTCTGCTCAAAAATTCTCCAGGGTCAGTCTTCATAACAACTTATCATAATAGAAGGTATTCTTATTTTGTCTGTCTGTCTCAGGTTCTGATAAAAATTTTCCATCGTAAGAACTGCACCTTATGATGGTTTTTCTATTTTCATGCCTTTTTTTACCTAATTCTTTTGTTGCTAGTAATGTGCAGCGGTCATCATCTTATTGAGTTCTTGATGGTCAAATGGGGATTAAAGTGTGTGAAACTTCTTGATGGCTTTTCATTCTTGCCACCAGACAAGGCTTCAGGGCTAAGTGGCAACATCCAATTGGCAGAAATTGTATTGAGTGGTGAACTAACTGAGGTAACTGCTTGCCAATGCCTTTGGTTTAGCATCTCTTGGTCTGCAGTGCTGCATCTCTGATTTATGCTTGCTTTTGACTAATGCAGGAAACTTCATTCTCCGTGGTGAGGTGATTAATATAATCCAAATCAGTATAATGACTAATGTTTATGGACTTGTGCTACTCGTCATTAATGTCAAGGAATGTGATTTTTGAATGAAAATTCCTTTCTGAGGATATTGTCTTCCCGAAAACACTCTGTAGACAATTTGAGGACATATGATAGATGTCAGTTCAAGTTTGTTATTGATCAGAAAATGACTTCCTAGCTAGTCCACCGCAGGCATGGGAGATTTTGTGTATACTTGCAATTTTGGTTATCTCTTGTACTATTTATTCTGCTTTACTGATGGAACATTATTTTTGTCTCGGATTTGATTTAATGCTTTCTGAACAGTTGTTTAGTACTCTGTCAGTCAACATGGTAGTGTTCCTGATATTAATTTGGTATCTGACTGGATGGGTCAGATCTCCTACATGTGAATAGAGCCAGGGTATGGCTGTGTTGAGTTTTTTGCCCACTGTAAGGTTGAGGACGAAATTATGTTATTGTATGCATGAATAGAAGGATTTTGTCTTGTACTATAAATGTTTTAACGTTGCCTTTACCTATTTCAGAAATTGATGCAATTCTTTCATATCCTCTTTCTCTCTCTGGTAGGTTCTGCACTTGACATCACTCTGAGAAGCTGGCTTTCCTGCTCTTTACTGGTTTGTCTCCCTTAATTTCTCAAGACATAGGAAGCAAGATTTGCAAAGTTTGAAATACTTACCTGAAGTTTTTATTTCAGCTAAGAGTTGTCAATTGAATACAGCTAGCATTCTTTTAATGATTACTCGTGAAACTTTTGGAGAACCAAATCATATCTTGGATGACATTGATCACCTAATTTTACTAATCTTGACCTTAATCCTCATCTTGACAGTAGCATAATCAAGTTTTGTTATACATGGGCCCTAATGGGCAAGATAGAGCTAGATTATTTTTTCCAAAACATAATTTTTACAAGGTTAGGTGGGCCTGCAGTGAAACTCCTGAACAAATGGCAAAGGACAGGCTGCCCGTTATTTTTCAAATTTTTATTTATGCATAAAAGTCTTCAACGATTGATATTCATTACAATAAATCAATGTGATTTTCAGCCACGTGAATGCAAAACGGACATAATTATCTGTTCTTGCAACCCCCAAAATGTAAGATACATTAGATAACCAGTCTGTTTATGCATTTTCTAGGTTTTCATAAGATAAAATTCACTAAAACTAAAACAAGGTATTACCTTAGTTTACCACCCTGCAGTCCTTCCTGACCTCCTGTCCTCCTGTGATGCTACTCAGTTTGATAATTGAGTGCACAAAAGCCTCTGTAAAAGCTTTGTGTGAGCTAGCAAACTTATAAACTAAACCTTTGGTCTTTGGATTAGTAAGCAGAGCTTGGTCTGAATGAAACAGGCTTTTCTGTTGTAGGAGAAGCCTGTAGTATGTGTTATCAAAAGTTGTTGGAGAAGGATCATTTGCAGAACCAAGATTCTTTGCCTTATGATTGACCGGACAAAGACTCCTTAACCTGTCAGCAAAAGTAGGATTCAACGTAGGATCGCTGTTCTGCGGGTATATTCTGCTTTCAAATGACGAACAATGCGCAAATCCGAGAGTATGTGCTCCTGCAAAGGGTGGTTAAAACAAAACATGGTAAATTTTCTTCTCGGAAATGGAACATGTGATTAGCCATGTCTAGGGCATTTGTGGTTTATTTACCTAAAAGAGCCGCTAGATCATCCATTGATAGACCCCTTTGCCTGAAGTTTTGCTGCAATTGTGAGATGTTGAAAGTTGGAGCAGGCAAGCTTGTAGTTTCACTAGCCCTTGATGTTCTCCCATCTTTTCTTCCTTTAGGCACATCCCAAGTTGGGCCCCCAGACTGTAAAATTAATCCAAAGATATGAACAGAATGATCAATCATACAAGTTTTAACCCAGTATTCTTTACCAAAAAAAAAAAAAAAAAAAAATGTAATGAGTGATTTTAATTTTAATCTGGTCTAGTCTTTAAGAAACTTTTAGTTTATGATACAAGATCACTAGATCTCATGTATGCAGACAAAGTGAGGAGATTTGGGTAGTTTGATTGTCTTACTAAGACCACAGCATCCCTTGCGGCAAAAGCTAGAATATCGGCACATGACACAACACCGGGGCACACACTTTCTATTTGTTTCTTTGCACTGTCAATTACAAAAAATGCATGCAATGAACCATTAGGGGGTGCATCCTTTTCTGCTTTGTTGTTCCCTTTTGAATTCAACAGAATAGAGCCATCGCATCCCTTTAGAAAAAAAGAAAGAATAGACACAAGCAATTAAGTTAGTTAAACAAACCTTTCAGAGACCAAAGGAAAAATTAGTAAAGATGAATATGGACTTCTATACCCTTATGAAACAGTCATGAAAATGCATCCGAAGTAGAGCTGCAGGGACGGTTTTGTCTCTTGATGTTGCAGTCTTGACAGTATTTGTGACAATGGACTCGGCAGTAGGGCATGTTTTGTCATAGTAATTCAAGCTTAATGCATTTCCTGGTGAAAAAATTACTGAAAGAATGAGGAGTGAGCTCAAGAATGCCACATTAAAAGCCATGATCAGGGCTTTCTCAGCTCTTCAAACTAGGTCTTGTGTGTGTGTGTGTGTGTGTGTATGGTAATTAAGCATTAAAAAAGGGTATTTATAGGGACAAAGATTTACTATTTACAATGATGAACGTGACCCCATAGTATGAATTTGTTGAGCAATAATGTTTGATAATGGAGTAGTAGAATTTAAGCATTCTAGCAGCTAGTGAGACAATCTTTTGTCACATCTCTCCTTTCACCTTCAATCATGCTAAGTTCCTTTAATCATCCTCACATGTGCTGAGAGATATATGATCAAGTTGGTTAATATTTCTTTTTCTTGAATTTTGAGGCATATTCATGATTGAATGTTTCCTCCGATAAAGTAACCCATTCAATGCATTTGCTCTTTGGGGCTGTAGATAACAGATAATATTTTTCAAATTGAACAGATGACGATGTTTGTTTGCCTGTAAACAATTGAGCATTTGATCCAAATTAACCTTATATTTGTTAACATTTACAAAACACTCAATTCACTCATGCAAACACTTTTGTCCTCGCTTTTTAAATTTTTTTGGACGACATTGTTTTTGTTATTATCATTATTTACAGAAATGTCATTATACCCAGAACTAGCCACCATTGCCAGCCACCGTCGACCGCCACTAGAGGCTGTCAAAAGTCACCATAATGGCGTACGATCGGTCGTATATAGCCGACCTGCGCTAGTGAGGCTTTTTTCGACTATGGATAATATCGAAAAAGGCTAAATCTGGTTGTTTCACAGGCATATCTATGGTCGTGAAACGGCTAACGTTTCATAGCCAAGTTTTTGGTAGTAAAACGAACGATATTTCACGACCAAATTTGTGGCACTGCTTGTGTCACGGCCATATCTGTGGCACTACCAGCGGTGGTGGTTGGCTGCTAGTAGAGGCTTGAGGTGGATAAGGGTATTTTTGTTAAGTTTAAAATGTTTTTTATTGCTATGGTGTTTTTGCTAAATCTAAAAAGTTGGGGGTTAAAAGAATTATTCAAAAAATAATAATAATAAATATTGATATATTAATATTTAAAAAAGAGAGTAATTTAGTAATTTATATAATATAACCATCCATTTATCCTTTCAACCAAACACATTTTTTAAATATTCATAATAATCTTTAAAATAATATTTTATTTTATTAATATAATATCCACATATAATAAAACATCTTATTATTTAACGCTTCAAGTTTGTTAGAATATAATAAAACATCTTATGATTTAACGCTTCAAGTTTGTTAGAATATAATAAAACATCTTATGATTTAACGCTTCAAGTTTGTTAGAATATAATAAATGTAGTATCATTATTTTTTACCTTTATAGAATGAATGCAAAAGATAATATTTTGTTGTCTCCTTTACCGAACCACTGTCTCCTACAGTAGATTATGGGGATAGTGATTACGTCTGGATAACTGATAATCACTGATTGAGCAAACATTATAGAGGGAAATCAAATCACGAGGAAAATATATTATGTAATCTTGTCTGATGATGGTTCACGATGTTGCTTTTTTGAGAGTAAACAACATGTTCCCACCCGAGGTTTAACGAAATCTAAAAGTAGTACCACTGGTTTCATTTATTCTAGATTACCACCATTAAACTAACAGTGTTAGTCACTGTTGGATTCAGAAGAGGGCAATTACCAAACTACCCTCCCATCTTCGTCTTCTTCTTCATCTCCCCCTTCTTCTCTTCTGCCGCTTCTCTCTCCCTCCCACAACCACAACACAACCACAACCACACTCCTCTCTCTCTCTCGAAACCCCAAAGTCACCACCACCACCACCCACCGCCATTCCACCCATCTACCGCCATTACAATCCCTCACCACCACCCGATCTTTGTCTTCTTCTTCTTCTCCCCCTTCTTCTCTTCTGCCGCTTCTCTCTCCCTCCCACAGCCACAGCCGTAGCCATAACCACGCTCCTCTCTGCCTCTCGAAACCCCAAAGTCACCACCACCACCACCACCATTCCACCCATCTACCGCCATTGCAATCCCTCACCACCGCCCGATTTCGGTCCCATTTGGCTCGATCTCGGCTTTGTTGGCCGTCCTAATCATCACCACAAACACCACCACCCTTCCACCTCCAAAACCTCCATTTTCCCCGACAGTGGTAGAGGGGAAGCAGTTGGTGGAGAGAAGAGAAGAAGAAAGAGAGAAGAAAAAGAGGAGAAGAAAAAGAAGAAGAGGAAGAATCTGGTGGAGAGAAGAGAAGAAGAAAGAGAGAAGAAAAAAGGAGAAGAAGAAAAAGAGAAAGAATCTGGACGAGAGGAGAAGAAGAAAAAGAAAAGGAAAAGGCAAAAAGGAAAAGAGGAGAAGAAGAAGGAAAGCAGTCAGCGGTGGTGTGTTGACACTTTTACCCTTAACCTTTTAAAATAAAACAAACAGTGTTAGATTAAGGGTGGGTATCTGAAATAAATCAAACTAAGGGTATTAACCTTGGATTTCGGTAAACCTTAGGTGGGAACATGTTGTTTGCTCCTTTTTTGATTATTGTAAGCTCATGTGTAAAAAGGCCCCTCGAATTTGTCGCCATATGGTAAAATGGGCCCTCAATTAACGAGGAGAATAAATTTGTGAAATGCCCTTTTTAACCCTCATCGTTTTCCACTTTTAATCCAATCTTGGAGGATATATATGTAATAAAATATTTTGTTTCTTCTTCCTCTATTATTTGCATTCCTTTGCTTTGTAAAAATAATCAAAATAAATAAAAGAGTATTTTTAAATTATTAAAACTAACTTTATTTTCCTATTACAAATACATTGACACCCCACTATTATCTCATAAACCCTAATTTTTTTATGTTATCTAAATCATTAAAGATAGTTTAATGTAAAAAGAAGATATATAATATGATATATCAAGTTATAAGCAATACAAACTTATGAGGTATTTAATTGTTTCTGATATAAATTTATTGTTACTTTTTTCTCAATAAAACTATATTTACAATTTTTTCATACAATTTTTTTTTTTTATATAACTCTAAAGTGACAACTCGTAATTGGTCAATTTACATTTGAGTAGACGGGACCTATTACAAGCTAACCAATCGTGAGCTGTCACATCAAGGTTATATGAAAAAGTTGTAAGTATAGCGTTGCTCTTTTTTTCTTCATAGTATTAGTGATTAAGGTTTACATTTAAGGTTATATATATATTACATTTCAGGTTTAAGATGAAATAAACTATTTATTTAAAGTTGTTTGGGAAAATTATTTATGTTTTAAAGTTGTTACCATATCTTTTCAAGCATGTTTAGAGTTTCTTGGCATGAAACTTTTTTGTATTTCCGTACTATCATTCTCATGATTACTTATTTTCTCTTATTGTTTAATTGCAACAATGATTATTAAAATAATGAATTGAAATCTTAATACATACTATTAAAACGTAAATTATAAAATAAGAAATCAAAACAATAATTTTTAATATTACACCTTTATTAAGCTATAACCTCCTTATAATAACAAATTAATTTGATCTTACTATTATGATTATACAAAGATTTTAGTGTATATATACATATATAACAATAATAAAAAGGGAAATGGTTTTTGCTTTTTATCCCCATCTTGAAGTTTAGTGGGGGATATAATTGTAATAAATATACAGTTTTACTTCAAACTTAAAAAATTAATAATAAAATATGAGAACAAATCAATCAATATCGTTATCACATAATTATAAATTAATTTGTTTACGAAATCAAAACCTCAAAGCTCTTACAACCAAGTAATCACTTTTAAACCTATCTTGGTGGAAGCAAAATATTGTTTCATTCCCGTTAAAAACACAGCACCCAGAAATGTCTGATGCCCAAATCTCATAACTTTTACAATCAAGTAATCAATTATAAATTTTATCTTGACAAAAGAAAATTCTAATTAATGAAATTTGTGATACTTGATTTGATTGATTTTAACTCATATTTTATAATTAATTGTTATTAATTTAAATTTACTTTTAATTTGGATAATGGTAAATATAAAGCTTTGAAATAAAAGCATAGAAAAAGATTTTTTTTTTCTCCACTTAAACTTGTAGATGGCGATAAAGACAAAAATAACGGGTTTTAAAAATCACTTCCTTGAACCATTAATCTTATGGTCAGATGACAAGATTTTAACTATCTGGATGAATTACCCATATGTCTTGTGTTTGAACCCAATAAAATTCTTATTTACCACATTTGTGACTTATCAAACCTATTGGATTTATAGGGAAAAAAAAATTATTGTCGTCGTTTAGAAATGTACCGGGGGTTACTCAGAATGATTCATTGCAAAGGATAATAGGCCCAGCCCAAAATAAGCATAATTAATTCATCCCCGTTGGCGGTTAAAGCTAAACTGGAAACTGGTTGGTTACTCTCACTGCACCAGTGCCATTAACAAACCTTAACAACGATTAATGTTTTGCTCTTGCTTTATATCACTTCCTTTCTCCATCGCTCTTCGCAATTGCGAAAACCTAGACCACAATTATGGACTCCAGTAACAAAATGAAAAGCAAGATCGAGCAAGACGATGATACGGATCACAGAACGAAGATGCTTCATCATGCTCTGAAGCAGCAATCGAAAGCCGATATTCACTCTCGACTGAAACGCTCGCTCACGGAAAGGAATTTCTCGTCTTCCTCGACTCCGTACGACAATAGAGGCCAACCTGAAAAGAAGCACAGAAGCTCTGAGAATTCTCCTCGCCATGACTGCAAAACCGAAGGAGAAGATGAACGGGAGGGGAAAGTGCAAGGATCAGAGAGTGATCAAGAAAGTGAATTGAAGGAAACTGGTTACGTGGCGTCTCGAAGTGAGTCAGAGGATGAAGATGACTTGAATGATGGTAGTTCTGATGACGATGAACAGGAGGAGGATAGTCAAGGGTCTGAAGACGAGGTAAAATTTGAATTGGTGTCGTTACGTTCCTTGTGCAGTTGTGCGGTTAAATTTTCTGTATGTTTCGTTACAAACTTGAAGTAAAGGACTTTTATTCCTGTTTGTGTTTAATTTATTGGATTTATCTTGTTGAACTGCAGGAAGATTTAGTAGAACTTGGTATGTTACCGAACAAGCTCGCTGTTGTTAACATGGACTGGAGAATTTTTAAGGTGCCTGAAAAACGGATGTTTTCGAATCGTATGAATTATTTTGTATTCGTTAATAACTTGGCTTTATGAATGATGTAATGTACCTACACTTTTGTTTAAACAAATTGCGCCAACTAGGGGATAATATTTCAGTTGTCGTCTTATTAGTGAGTTTATGCTCAGTTTTTCTTTTGGTGATGTAGGCTTGTGACTTGTTTGGAATATTGACCTCGTTTCTGCCGAAAGACGGACGGATTTTGTCTGTGGCAGTCCATCCAACTGAATTTGGAATTCAGTGTATGAAAGTGGAGAAAGTCCATGGTCCTTTTGGTCTATTTGGTAGTGAACATAAGAACTGTGATGGAGAAGACATTGAATTAACTTATGAAGAGAAATTGCGTGCTTATGAGAAAAGTACACTCAGGTAATTGAAATCTTTTCTTTTTTCAACAGTGTAATTTCAGTAGCTGTTTCATTGATGGGATGGAAGCCACTGTGATGTCGTTGGGATCCCAACTCATCCTTGTCTCTGAAAAGCACAGAAAACCAGCGGCTGTTATGGGACAGAAGCCTCAGTGATGTTGTTGGGAATTGATTTCACGTTGTTTGGTTGAGTCGTCAAATTTATTGTCCATGAAGGCATTTAGTTATATCATCCATAAAAGCAAGCTCTATTTTAGAACCTAAAGCTTTTGGCATAGCTTACAAGTTAATCTATGGATTTTAACCCCATTAAATCATTCTTAGTGGACTCAGTGAAATGAAATGTTATTTCTTTTATCATAATTTTGTTTTCTCTCTTTTTCAGGTACAATTATGCTGTAGTGGAATGTGATTGCAGTAGAACAGCAGACCATCTTTACAAAGCTTGTTATGGACGTCAGTTTGAAGGATCATCAATCAAGCTTATTTTGAAATTCATTCCTGACAATATGGAATTTCAATATCCACCACAGGATGTTGCAACAGAGGTATGCTTTTTGCCGTATGATTGAAATGAGCCAAGATATGTGTAATACATGCACAATAAAGTTCTCTGTACTTGTAGCAATAAAAGTGGGGTTATTGAGTACCATAATAGTAGCAAACTACTGATGTTCATGCTTTTTCGCTGCAGCTAAATTATTCTCACATATTTTTACTAATTGAGAGATACTTGGACTTGTGATGTAATTGCAATTATAAAATATTAATAATACTTGTTTCTGTTCAGGTTCCTGCAAACTATAAGGGTTTAGATTTTTATACCAAAGCACCACAGGTGGACAGAAATGTTGATCTTTCTTTGGATGACAAGGCACCAATTCCTGCAATGACTTTTAGTCAAAAATTTATTGCTGATCAGGTTGGTATGCTTGATTTGGAATTTCTTTAAAGCATATTTTTTATGGTTCTTTTATTGAGTTTTGTGAAATGTCATTTTCGTGTTGTATTTTATTATGTATCTTTTTCAAGGGTTATTTTATTTTCTCTTTCATACTGATACAATGTCTTTCCATGCAGCTGGCTGAATTGGATCCGTCTAATCCACTGCTCAAAAGGTATTAGCAAATATGGATCCAAAATCAATTTCACTTTCATTCTAAAACAAGAATTAATATGAATCAAAACACTTTGTTTGACTAAAAGAGAGTAGTACATAGAAGCATATTGAAGTTTTTAGTATTGTGTGTTGTAGGAGTGCTACATATGCTCTGCAAGTATCACAAAGACAACAAAATAATATTGATGAAAGGGCAGCCGTGGCTAATGGGGTAAATAGTTCTGATATAGACCCTTTAAAGAAGATAGAAGGGTCCGACTTTTCTTCAATTCTTAGGGTACTTGAGATGAAGTCAAAGCATTTTGAGATCATTTTTAAATATTTGAAGTAGTTTAATTTGCCTGTGTAAAAGTATCGATGTAAAACTTGACCCCTTTTATTATATTACTGGAATGATTGTAAAAGTTGTAGAATTCACAAATGGTATAATACTTTTGGCGCGCACACACACACACACACACACATATATAACATGTCATTGTACCAAAAAATATCATGTAATATATGTAAAATTTCCAGTAGTGTAGAAAAAAGAAAAACATTTTCTTACATTTTCTTAAGTTTTCATATTAATTCTTATAATTTTTTTTTTCAGAATTAATTCTTATAATAAAAGTATCTGACTTGAGACAGAATTATCATGGCCGTGGGGGCTCATTTTGAAATTTTAGTGGGTTTTTTTCCAAATTGAGGCCCAGCCCAAGGTTAGAGCCTCTTGAAGCATTATTTGATTCGATACTTTATCTCATTTTATTTTAGTCTCCCATTTTATTTATTTATTTATTATATATTTTATACGATTCTTAATCCTAATTTGAATTTACCTAAATTTGAAGAATGTTGTGACATATGAATTTTAACTTATGTATGGTCAAAGATTTACTTTCTTTTTATATTTATTTTATTTAACTACCAATTTCAAAATTATGATCCAGTTCGAAATACAATGAAAATATATTAATCTCTCATGCTTTCATCTTGTCAAGAGGTTGAAGGTTAAGAATCTTAGTACAAGCTCCAAATGGTAATACTATATTTACAATTCAATTTCACAAACTTTTTTTATAATCTTAACATGGCACTTCATAATTAGTCAGTTTATAATGGATTTCGTTTGTCCAATTACAAGCTGTGACGTGGGATTGTAAGATTAGTTCGTGATGCCATATTTATTGAACTCCAAAACTGTGGCACAACTAATAATTAATAATATGTCATAAACTATCTTGTCAAATATGGAGAATCTATTCTCTTGTCATATATATATATATATATGCACCAAAGTGCTTCTGGGAGCATGTACTAGTTATACATATGATACAGGATTTGAAGAAACCCTTAGCACAGGAAAAGAAAAGATCAAACGTTGGCTAAAAAGGAAATAAGAAGGATTATAAGAGCACAAGTGAAAGGGTGTTGTAACATAGGTGAATGACTTCCTCCAGTTGGTGCAGATATGGGAAAGTTATCACCATTCCTTCTTTATGCAGGTGCGGGTGCAGATATGGAAGAGTTATCATCATTCCCAGTCCTGGATTCTGGTTTGACAGTAGTAGCTGGTGGAACGCCAGAATTCTTAGCCGGGCTAACTGGCATAATGCTGCTGGCGCTCACATCATAACCTGAAGATATATGTTTGTAGAAATTCAAGAGAAGGAAAATGTAAACCATGAAGCCAAGTTTAGGTGGAAAAATTATACTCACAGCTGGATGCCTTCCAACCGAAAACATTCTTCTCTCGATCGAAGACTATAGTATAACCACTCATGAAGTTTTCTGGATTAAATAATAAGCAACAATTATAAAATGCATATTTGTAGACATACATTATTGCTTTTAGTATATATAATTCTAAAGCCAAATTTAACATATTATTATAAGCAACAATTACAAAATGCAGCCTTTAGCGATTTTTTTTTTTTTTTTTTGGTAACAGGAGGTGTCCAAACTAACTTTCGCAACACCTCAACTAATCCCCAAAGACCCTGAAGTTGATGACCGGATAAATCCTCTCAATGGTTACTCTATTAACAACCCAAGTGGGTCAAATTCAAGACCTCCTGAGTTAATACACTCAAGAGTTTTGGTTGACTGTTGGGCCACCCAATAGTGGTTAAGCGATTTCTTTCTTGTTTTATAATAAGAGAGCAACAAATATTATGAATCTGATTAATATACGTCCCTAAAGCAATTCCTTCTGCCATCCCTTTACTCAACTACTAAAATGACTATATTAAAAATAAAATTGATGGACAAAAATACTCACGTCCAATGAGGTTCTCATCACCACTTTTGACAACACCAAGACAGTATACATTGATATCCTGAAAGCAAAACAATGAATTTTCATCATCAGTGTGGGACAACCCAGAGTGAAAATCATTGCAGTAGAAGTGAGAACTCAACCTCATCGGAAACGATTACTATTGGGACATTGACATGATATGGGTTGCCACCTTTCATTGTTAAATTCACATATGGATAGCTGACGTTAGATTGATTTGAGCTGCTTGCAAGTAAAGAGAAAGTTAGTGATCGATTTCAAAAGGTCAAAAAAATAAAAAATAAAGAGTAGTGGACTTTTTCCCATATAAAAAATTGAAACACAATCCTGATGTGATAACTCGCAATTGATCAGTTCGTAATAAATCTCACTTAATAAATTATGACTAATCAATTGCGAATTACCACGTCAGAGTTGTGAGAAAAAAATTTGTGAGAAGAAATTGTGGGTGTAACATTACTCTTAAAATAATAATTGTGTCCGAGTTATCCAAAATTAAATCTAGTTCTTGTGTTACCAAAATTACACAATCACTTGATGAGTCAATAGTTTTTTCTGTTAAAATTGACTTAGGGGCTGTTTGCTTTTTGGTCTTTAAGTCTAAACAAATAATCACCACTGGATGATCGAGTAGTCAACTAAGACTTTTGAGTGTATTACTAAGAGGTCCTGAGTTCGATTCACCTCAACTGCTAATAGGGGTGGTCACTAGAGCTCTTACCGACCAGTAGTTCCAAAGTTTCGAAAGATTAATTGAGATACGTGCAAGCTGTCTAGACACCTCCAAAAAAAAAAAAAAAAAAAAGTCTAAACAAGTATAATTTTACTTAATTTAGACATTTTATGTTCATTTGTTTTTTAACTTCTATCTGATAATCAGATAAAATGAAAAACCAAAAAACGTGGCTTTTATCTCAATACCAAAATATCTGAATTAATAACATTTTTATTTATTAATTATATTCCTATTAAATTTATATACTGTAATTTCATTTTTATCAAAATTTTCACATTCTATATTTTTGTCTTCTTTATTTATCGTAGCCGCACAAATCAAAATCAACGATCAAAGGCAATCAATTTAGTTGAAACAATTGATAAAATGTTCATACAACAATTACAACTAAATTGAAGGATCAAACTAATGTAGTTATTTTTAATTTTGCATCAAAGGTCTTCCTTAGGAAGACAAATAGAGATGAGTTATTTTTTAATTTAGTAGTTATTTCTCATGTAAAGTAAAAGTATGGACAAATATTGAAATACTCTTTTATCGTTTACATTAATATAACCGCGGTCAACTTATACGGACCTAAGCATTTCTTTACGATTTCACTGGACCAAACAGTATTTAGGCAAAACATCAAGGATAAAAACTTTGCTTTCATCTTTTCAAGAGGTTGAAGGTTAAGAATCTTAGTACAAACTCCGAAGGTAATATTATAATTATAATTCAATTTTATAAATTTTTTCTTACAATCTCAATATGATAGTTCATAATTAGTCAACTCATAATAAGTTCCGTTTGTCCTATTATAAATTATTATCTCAACATTATAAGAGAAAGTTTGTGAGATTATGTCATAATACCATCTTTATTGAACTCTAAAACTGTTTCACAACTAATAATAATAATAATATGACAGAAATTGTACAGAAAGTATTATAGTAATAACAATATGAAAATAGTTAAAATATCTTGTCAAATCTGGAGAATCTATTCTCTTATTGCCTGTTATATATATATGTGCACCAAAGTGCTTCTGGGAGCATGTACTAGTTATACATATGATACAGGATTTGAAGAAACCCTTAGCACAGGAAAGAAAAGATCAAACGGTGGCTAAAAAGGAAATAAGAAGGATTATAAGAGCACAAGTGAAGGGTTAATGTAACATGGTGAATGACTTCCTCCAGTTGGTGCAGATATGAAAGTTATCACCATTCCCTCTTTATGCAGGTGCGGGTGCAGATATGGAAGAGTTATCTTCATTCCCAGTCCTGGATTCTGGTTTGACAGCGTAGCTGGTGGAACGCCAGAATTCTTAGCCGGGCTAACTGGCATAATGCTGCTGGTGCTCACATCATTACCTGAAGATAATGTAGGAAATTCAAGAGAAGGAAAATTAAACCATGAAGCCAATTTTGATGGAAAATTATACTCACAGTTGGATGCTTTCCAACCCAAAACATTCTTCTCTCATCGAAGACTATAGTATAACCACTCATGAAGTTTTCTGGATTAAATGATAGCAACAATACAAAATGCATACTTGTAGACATACATTATTGCTGTTAGTATATATAATTCTAAGCCAAATTTACATATTATTATAAGCAACAATTACAAAATGCAGCCTTAGCGATTTTTTTTTTTTTTTTTTTTTTTTGTGTAACCGAGGTGTCCAGACCAGCTTTCGCAACACCTAACTAATCCCAAAGACCCTGAATTGATGACCGGAAAAATCCTTTAGTTATCTATTAGCAACCCAGTGGTCAAATTCAAGATCTCTTTGAGTTAATACACTAGAGTTTTGGTTGACTGTGGGCCATCCAATGTGGTTAAGCATTTTCTTTCTTGTTTTATAATAAGAAGCAACAAATATTATGAATCTGATCAATATACGTCCCTAAAGCAATGCCTTCTGCCATCCCTTTACTCACCTACTAAAGGACAATTAAAAATAAAATAATGGACAAAAATACTCACGTCCAATGATGTTCACATCATCATTTGACAAGCAAGACAATATAAACTGATATCCTGAAAACAAACAATGAATTTTCATCATCAGTGTGAGACAACCCAGAGTGAAAATCATTGCAGTAGAAGGAGAACTTCCTCATCGGAACCTATGATTATTGGGCCATTGACATAATATGGGTTGCCACCTTTCATTGTTAAATTCACATATGGATAGCTGACGTTAGATTGATTTGAGCTGCTTGCAAGTAAAGAAAGTAGTGATGATTTCAAAAGGTTAAAAAAAAAAAAAAAAAAAAAAAGGTGTGACTTTTCCCACCCAAATAATGGTTTAATAACTCTTTCCACCTACAATTTTTAAAATACAATTTATTTCCAAATTTATATTCTATTCCGATTCCGCGTTGTGACTCAACCACCACCATCTCCTCCCAATCCCACTCACTAAAATCCTCAACCCTACTCCCATCACCTCTCAATCGCCGACATCGAGGATTATAATTTGCACAACCTCTTCCTAAGTCAATTCTGATCATCATCCCGAATCCATCACCAAAAACTCATCGGCCTCTCCTCTTCAAAGCTTAATGGCTAGACTGAGTTTGCCTCTGTTTGTCATACAAATTGGTAATAAAGTAGTATTTTAAAAAGGTGAGTGAAAAAATATCATTAAGTATTATTTGGGTGGGAAAAGGTTGTTAGCTTAAAAAAAACTAGCCTTTGCATGTAGAAATGAAATGACCTCAAATATAACAATCCTAAAAGAAGCTTAGAGGTCTCAGAGGTAAATCGTTTTCCTTGTGTCAAGTTTATGAACTGCCAGAAAAGAAAAACAAATATTAAGTATCAGATGTAAGCTGAAACTTCATATAAATTGAAACACAATTATTAAACTACTTACAGTCTCAGAAATCTGTGTATAACTGGGTCGCTTAATGATGTAAAAGAGGTACCAGAATCAAAGACCAGAAACTCTAAATCAGAGGCGAACCCCAACATCAATTTTATTGATGGTAACAAAGTATGTTGGACTGACAAGAAATTTCAGTACAAGAAGATTAGTACAGCTCACTTGAATTGTAGTTCAAATGGACCAGAGAAAGGAAGATAACGACACTTACTTGATTGCCCAAGAGAAAACGGTGTTTCTCCTTGGCCTGAGCTGCCTTGTTCTCCAAAGTGATTCTTCCAAGACATCAGTCGAAAGCACATGGAAAAGAATTTGGTATTAGCCCCTGACTTGCTAAGATGCTAGGAACTGATTGCTTGCCAACCGAGCCCAAAGAACCATTAGGTGCTGCACCATCCAAAAGTAAACCAGTCTGAACGCCGACCACAACTGCAATAGAGTAGCAAATCTAAATTTAACAGAAAAGTAACATAAATATATCAGTGGGAATATATATATATATATATATATATATATATATATATGAATGAATCTATGGTGTATATTAACTCAATAAGTTTTGGACGAAACTTTTAAACCCTCTTACTGTTACAACATTACTTTCAATAACTCTTTAGCATCAATAATATTAGGTCTAACAAAATCAAGATTCCATCATAGAATTTATATCCCAGGGAGAGACTTTGATATCAGCAATTCAACGGTGGAATTTTTGTGCAGCAAAACCATGTAGAAGATTTCAAAAGATTTTTTGGTGAAATTTGCCTACCCAAAAGTAATACGAGGATTAACAGGTTGAGGTTTATTATCATTTGGATCAGTGCAGTACATCCTCACCAAGGTCCCAGTTGATGAAGTGCCCGCAGAAAGATACCGAACTTGATAAGGCAATTACTGGTAGCTGAAGGGCACTGTTTTGGCTTTCACATAAGGAGCTGTTACAAGTAACTTTGACTTGTTGACGATGCATTAGGGCTGTAGATATTAAATTCTATTTTACCTGTATGAATAAAATAGCATTAGAGACTGTAGAAATGATTTACCAAATCAGACTAAAATCTTAAAATTAAAAGTCACCCTCCGAGTATAAGTAAGCCACCTGCCCAGATGAAGAATTCAAGCCATGGATACAATTGCTACCACAATCACATGGTAACCAGAACAGGTCACTGCCGGTGTCAAGAGCCACCAGATACGACAAAGGTGGTGTACCCAATGAAACATTGGCATAATATAAACTGAAATTCAAAGGAAAATATGTAAATCATTAGTTACTCCATGAAAAAATTTTAGTATCAACAAGAATAAATAGAATTAAAAAAAAAAAAAAAAAAGGGCAAGAGAGATTAATATGAGTATATTTATAAAGCTTCAAACTATACAAGAGAAAAAAATACTAAAACATAATTTTAAAAAATGATAAATGCATGTACTTAATTTAATCAATATGAATATATCTGTCTTAAGAATAATAATAGTAAAAGGAACATTCTCAATCACGGATGATCTGATGTTAAAAGAGTAAAGGAAGATCTAACAGTCTCTCAAGTTCGAGTCTTTTTAATGGTAAAAGACCAAGAGGAGGATCTAACATGGTCTTTCGAGTTCGAGTCCCCATGTTAGAATTTGAGGTGGGCCTGACTCATCACCCAATAAGGCCTTATTGGGTGAAGAGTCAGACCTACCTCAAATTCTAACATGGTATCAGAGCTCAGGTTTAATTGAGCTGAGCGCTTGATCAGCGGGTGAGGAGTTAGAGCCAACAACTACCTCCAATAACAGGCATGACCCAACATATGGGCTTGACCGTGAGGGGAATGTTGGAGTCTCACATCGATTAGGCATGCTCAAGCCTATTGGGTTATAAGAGAGGGTAATCCTTCCATTCAATAAAGCCTTATAAGGCCTTAATGGGTGAGGAGTCAGGCCTACCTCAAATTCTAACACCCCACAATTCCTAATAAGAATGCTCATTGGGTCTCTTACCAGACTCATAGTTACAGGTATTATAAGCATACTCTTAAAAATTCTTTAAAAAATAACTTCGAAATATAAGAAACAAGCATAAGGCAAATAATTTGAATTTAACGAGCTGAGTGCTTGAGCCAATATATCACCTCTCTAACAACCATCAAAATCAGCGGGGTTAATGCTACATGTACCTTTGAAACTATCAAAATTGATATATATATATATATATATATATTGATCGGGGGTCCAGGCCAATCTATGTATACCTAAACTAATTTCTCAGACCTTGGAATTATCGGCAACTGAGCTTACGTGCACCTCAACTAAACCCTCAGAACCTTGAAACTTACACGTACCTCAACTAATCCCCTAAGACCTTGGAACTATCAGCCAGGTAAGAACTCTAGTGATTACCCCTATTAGCAATCGAGGAAAAACTCAAACTTAAGACCTCTTGAGTAATATACCCAAGAGTCTCTATCGAACCACCCAACCACCTAGAGGTCCACACCACAAACTTTGAAAGATACCTTGTTTTATTTTTCTTTGTTATTTTTAAGGGTGCATTTAATTCAGAGAATATTGTATTTCTGGGAGTGTTATGTAAATGGAAGGATAGTTTACCTTGAAGATTACTGTGAATGTTTAGAGAAATGGGTTGGGTTGGTTGGAATAAATTGATAGGTATGTTATATTACTATGTTTGGTTGGTTGGAATAAATTGATAGGTATGTTATATTACTATGTTTGGTTGGGAGGAATAATTTGGTAGGTCTGTTATTTAAATTACTAAATTGCCCTCTTATTAAATATTATTATTTAGATTATTAATAGAACCCCCAACATTTATAAACTTAGCAAAAACAAACCTATAATAAAAGTTTGGAAAATCAACAAATGCACCCTGTCAATCGCTGGCAACCCAATGGCACACAGTCAGTCCGAAATGGCCTCCATGCACCAATATGGCCATTTCCAGCTATATCTATGGCCAGAAATGGCCAAATCTAATCTGGTCATTTCCAACCAGATTGATGGTCATTTTTTGGCCATCAATATGGCCGGAAACGGCTACATTAGAGACTCTCGGCAACTTCCAGCGACGGCTGAAGGTGGTGGTGGTTTGAAATTTATTTTAAATATAAGGGCATTATTGTCTAAAAACTTAATTACACAGGGGTAAAATTGTAATAGCAAAATGAATGTAAATTGTTTTTAAAACAAAAGCATTATTGTCAAAAAAATTTATTAATAAGGGGTAAAATTGTAACAAAAACAAGATTACTAAGTAATCTTAAAATACTTAAGAAAATGGAGGTAATCAGATTACCTCCTATATTATGAATAGTACCTACTATTGGTTTTGGAAGATTACCGTAATCTTATATTACTTGGGAATCAAATGTGATAATCAATTAATATAAGATCACGTTACCTCAATAATCCAACATTTACTCCAACCAAACAAACCCTACTATGAATACAAATTTATTCAAAGTTATATTTCATTTTTGACCATTTTAACCTTATAATTTCATCTATTTTCAATTTCTTTTAGTTTCTAATTTTTGTAAACTTAAAAATAAATTATTCTCACAAAATTTAAGAAAAGAGAAGATGGCAACGATTGTCGTGACTCCAAATTGACAGTGATCGGAGATTGCATAACATGACCTCTTTATCACGGTGCGATCTAAATCTCACATCGGGATCGCGACGATTGCAATGCCTTCACCTAAGTTGCAATAGTTACAAATAAAAAAACATAGAGAGAAAAGAGAAAAGATTAACATACAATCCAAGGGGATTGAGTCGGTAAGTCTCATTTCCATATTCAAAAGTTAACTGCGTTTGATTCCTTTCCATTGCAAGTCCATGGCCACGAAACACACGGTCACGATAGGCCAGAGCAGAGTAGTAAGAGAAACTTCCTTTCTCTGGTAAGTCATCGATAGCCATAATTCCTTTAACCGCTTTCGAGTATCGGTGATGGATATTAAACCCTAAAGTACCAAACCCGTGAGAAGACGTGGGGCAGCACAACAAGAACATTAACAAAACATAAAGAGAGGTGAAACAGTTAACCTTAGCCATGGCTTAGAGGAGAATGAGCAGAATTTTTTAGTGTGAAAGTTTATAATGAGGATTTTGTGGAGGAAAAAGAGGAAGAAAAGATATGGTGAAAATTTATTGAAAGTGAGTTGACGTTTATGTGAATTGGCATGTTCGTCAGAAACAGAGATGACTTGACTTAAAGAATGATGTTTAAGAGTGGGCTTAGCCGCTTCGGAAGCACGGTCTGCGGTTCCAAATAAGGTCGGTGCCTATGTGGGTCTGCGGTTCCACTCAATCACACCCGATTCTCCCCGAGGTTTGGTATAGTAAATTAAAATAAAGAAAATATTACATCCACAATATATGTTCAAAGCAACCGGAGACTATAGAGTAGCCTTCAACTGACGGCACAACCAGAAAGTGTGAAAACATAACCTGTCAGAGATCTCCTCTTATCCAAATCTCCAGCATAATCAGAGTCCACATAACCAATAATATTGATATCAATATTACTATATTAGAACTCCTGTCATATTCTAAGCCCACATCTGCAGTACCTTTCAAATACCGAAAAATCCATTTTACTGCATGCCAATGAATTTTACCTGAGAACCCATGTATCTACTAACCACAAGCATGTGAAATATTAGGAGGAGTGCAAACCATAGCATACATCATGCTTCCAACTGCACTGGCACAAGGAATATGGGGCATGTATTTCTCCTCTTCCTCGGACTGTGAAAGCAGCTGAAAGCTTAAAATGTGTGGCTAATGGAGTAGTTATAGGCTCATACACTTTCTCTTACAATTTTAACGTGACAATTCAAAATCGGTCAACTCGTAATAAATTTTACCTGATAAATTACGGTTAACTAATTACGAGCTATTACGTCAAAGTAATGAGATAAAGTTTGTGAGAAAATATTGTAGATGTAACATTATTTTTAAAATAATAATTGTGTTTGAATTATCCAAAATTAAATCTAGTTCTCGTGTTACCAAAATTACACAATCACTTGATGAATCGATTGTTTTTTCAGTTAAAATTGACTTAGGGGTTGTTTGTTTTTTTGGTCTTAAGTCTGAACAAGTAATCACCACTGGATGGTCGAGTACTTGACTAGGATTTTTAGGTGTAATACTCAAGAAATTCTCAGTTCGATTCACTTCAATTGTTAATAGGGGGGTCACTGAAGCTCTTATCTAACTTGTATTTCTAAGGTCTAAAAAAATTAATTGAGGTGCACGCAAACTGACTCAAACACCTCTAGTTAAAAAAAAAAAAAAAAGTATGAATAAGTATAATTTTACTTAATTTAGACATTTTATGTTTATTTGCTTTTTAACTTCTATCTGATTATCATATTAAATCAAAAATAAAAAAACTTGGCTTTTATCTTAATACTAAAATATTTGAATTAATGACATTTTTATTTATTAATTATATTCCTATTAAATTTATATAATTTCTTTTTTGTCAAAACTTTTACGTTTTATATTTTTGTCTTCTTTATTTATCATAGCTGCACAAATCAAAATCAATGGTCAAATGCAATCAACTTAGTTGAAACAATTGATCAAATGTTCATACAGCAAGTATGATCAAATCAAGGATCTAACTAATGTAGTTGTTTTTTATTTTGCATCAAAGGTTTTACTTACAAAGACAAATAAAGGCAGTTTTTTTTTTTTTTTTTTTTTAATTTAACTCTAAAAATCAAAATGGGTCAAATAAGTAATTATTCCTCGTATAAAATGTGGACAAATATTGAAAAACTCTTTTCTCGTTTACATTAATATAACCGCGGTCAACTTACATGGACCTAAGCATTACTTTACGATTTCACTGGACCAAACAGTATTTAGCAAAACCTCAAGGATAAAAATTTGCCTCGGTCTTTAAGGAGTTAACTGTAATTTTCAGGGGTTATAAAAATTTGCTTGGTGAGTAGATGTAATTTTTAAGAACATCACTATATTTACAACTTTTTGGTACAATCCTATTATGATAACTTACAATTGGTCATCTTACTTCTATTTACCCAAATACAAACTGATCAATCGCAAGCTACCACCTCAAAGTTGTATGAAAAAAAAATTGTAAGTGTAGTTTTATTGAATTTTTAAAGAATAATATTACACCCACAACCTCTTTTCACAAACTTTCTCTTATAATCCGAACATAGTAGTTCACAATTAGTCAGTCTTAATTTATCAGGTGAGATCCACTATAAACTAACTAATTATGAGCTGTCACGTCAGGATTGTGAAAAGAGTTTATGAGTGTAATATTTTCCATTTTTAAAAAGGTTCATTGCAAAGTCAGCGTTAAAGTAAAAAAAAGTCAGCGTTGAAAAAAACTATGCCTAGGTTGAGTTGGACCACCCTTGGCCTAGACCGGGTTTTTTTTACATCTCTAAGGAAAACCTGCAAAGTCCAAAAAAATTCTTAACATATTTTTGTATTGGATTTTTTAATTGTTTAAAATATTTATGTTTTAGATGAATTTTTGAATTTTCAACGTTAATTTTAAAATAATATTTTAAATCCATAGGGTATTTTTCTTAATTTTGTAGAAACTTATTCTTAGGGATGATTTGGTCATTGCATAAATCAAACATGGTCCAAAGTTGTCTTAACCGAAAAAACTAACAACAGGGAGGTCGTCGTGTAATTTCGATACTCTAGGGATCATATTTAATTTCCGATAATCCAAGGGTACTAAATAGATTTAGTCCTTCTATACTATACTAATTGGTAATCTAAGTTGAGATAGAATCATAATTAGCAAAAGATCTTGATGAGGATTGTTTAGAAAGTCGGTTAGGGATATTCAAAAGAGTAATGTTATACTTACAAAGAAATTTTCATACAAAGTGAATTTTTAAAAGAGTGAATGTAATGAGTTTGATTTTTTATTTTATTCATCTATTTATTTTTTGTCACTTTACTTTGTACGAAAATCTTTATAATTCTTTGTAAGGATAATATTGTTGAATTCAAAATGACCATTTAGAAATTCAGTAGGCCCAGCCCAAAGTTAGCATAAGCCTATTCGCAATTTCAGCTAAACTGGTGTTGGTCACATGCGCTCCCGTATCCAAACGCCTGTTGTCATCAACTTTATTCCGTTAAACCCTAAATTGCCTACCGAGTAAGTGACGTTTTTTTTCTGCTTCAGTGCTTCTGTTTGCTCTCTCACTGTCTCTGTTCATTTTCAAAAAACCCTAAATCTAAAACATGGGTTCCAAAAACAAAGTTAAAAGAAAAAGTAAGGAAAAGGATGATTCAGATGACATCGACAACAAGAAGAAGATCATCACAGACTCTCGATTCGCGTCCGTACACTCGGACCCTAGGTTCCAGAATGTGCCGAAGCAAAAATCGAAGGTTGAGATTGACTCTCGGTTCAAACGCATGTTCACTGACAAGAACTTCGCGTCGTCCTCGGCTCAGTACGACAAAAGAGGCAGGCCTAAAGAGAAGCACAAAAGCTCTGCCAATTCTCTGCGACATTACTACAAAATTGAAGAAGAAAATGAAAAGAAAGAAGAACAGGAAGAGAAAGGATTAGGGAGTGAAAGTGAAAGCGAAAGTGAATTGGAGGAAACTGGTGACGTGGCGATAAAGAGTGAGTCGGAGGATGAGGATGATGACTTGGATGAGAGTAGTTCTGATGAAGAAGAAGAAGAGGATGTTTATGAGAGTGAAGGGCCTGAAGAGGAGGTAAATTTTGAATGGGTTTTGTAAAGATAATTGAGTGGCAAAATTTTTCTGTTTGTATCGTTACAAACTTTGAAGTCGAAAATTTGAATTCATTTTTTATGCAAAATTTACTGGATTTATTTTTTGGAGCAGCAGGAAGCTATACCAGAAATTGAGAAAGAAACGCACAGGCTCGCTGTTGTTAATATGGATTGGAGACATGTTAAGGTACGCGAGAAAAGATAACTTCGATCTCTTTTAATTATATACTGTATGGAGGATAAATGTACATAAACTGAATTGAATCAGATAATAGTCTTGTTGCGGTGGTATTTATGTGATTATGCTCAATTTTTTTGTTTTCGTAATGTAGGCTGTTGACTTGTATGTTATATTAAGTTCATTTCTGCCAAAAGATGGACAAATTCTGTCTGTCGCTGTCTATCCATCTGAGTTTGGAATTCAGCGAATGAAAGAGGAAGAAGTTCATGGCCCTGTTGGTCTATTCGATGATGAAGATAAGAACAGTGATGAAGAAGACAATGATGAAATTGACGAGGAGAAATTGCGTGCTTACGAGAAAAGTAGGCTCAGGTGATTGAAATTTTGTTTCTTTTTCTTGTTCTATTGTATTTTTCAACATTTTAGTATATGTGTAAGATAAGATTTAAGTTGTGTATATAGATACTCTCATCTCATCCTTGTCTCCGAAAGTTGTTTCATCTGATGTGACAGGCTCATTGATGTTGCTGTGAATAAATTTCACTTTGTTTGGTGTAGTCATCAAGGGATTTAGTTATATCATCCCATATTAGCTCCAGGCTATTTTAGAATTTGACATAACTTATAAATTAGTCTGTTGATTTTAACCATAGTGATTTATTCTTAGTGAGCTTAAAGTAAGTCTGTCTGATTAGGTTGCAACTTTCTAGAGGGTTCTACACTTCTAGTTATATCATCCCATATTAGCTCCGTATGGACTAAATAGTTTGCTGGGTGATTTTGTGCCTCTTCTGTGAGGATTTTGCAATCCTTGTTACTCATAATTTGGGCTTTTGAATACTATTTGTGTGTGTTGAACTTTATTTATGTCTAGATGTCCATTAAACTGTGAGTTCATAATGTTTTATAATTTTAGTCCTAGCCCATAGTCATCTTAGAAAGATTAATACTACATATCTCGAGTAGTATTACAAAATTCACATCCCAAGTGTTGTGCTATTATATATGGTATCACCATGTCACTTATCACATCAGCTTATTATCATTAGCTTATACTTTATACGTCAGTGACAAGTATGAATGCATCATTTGGGATGAGATTTTTGAGTTCTTTTTGAGTTTTGTATCATTACCCATTATCAAAAACTGCTTTACTTGACTTAATGAATGAATAGTTATCTTGCTTACTTTATCATACCTTTGTTTTTCTCCTTCTTTTATAAGGTGTTTATAAAAGTATATGTCACTTTCTCTCAGGTACTACTATGCTGTTGTGGAATGTGATTCTAGTGCAACAGCAGACTACCTTTACAAAGCTTGTGATGGAGTTGAGTTTGAAAGATCATCAAACAAGCTTGATTTGAGATTTATTCCTGACTCTATGGAATTTAAACATCCGCATCGGGATGTTGCAAGAGAGGTATGTATCTTTGCCATATGATCAAGAGGTGCTAATATATTTATAAATATATGTGCTGTATAGGTTTGTGTTTATAGCAATAAAGTGGAGTTATTGATAATCCTTGTTTTTGTTCAGGCTCCTACAAACTATGGGGGTTTAGATTTTTATACCAAAGCCCTGCAACATAGTAATGTTCATCTTTCTTGGGACGACGATGAACCAGACCGTTCAAAGACCTTGAATCGAAAATTTAATGCTGATCAGGTCGGTGTGCTAAATCTAGAATTTGTAACAAGTATGTTTATGATGATTCTTCTTCTGATTCTTGTGAAATTTTAGTCTAATATAATATAGAGTTCAGTTTTGTGTTGTATTCCATCTATTCAAATGGTTGCTTTACTTTAGTGATCAGTTTCTCTTTGCTTAATTTTTTTTTTTTGAAAATGGTGCCTTTTAAGTGTTGCATTGAGACTGAAGTTTTAGCATATTTGTGTGCAATATTTTGTATTGATGCAGTCAGTTCTTCAAGATCACATGTAAGCTACTTTTACAATCTTTGAATGTTAAGATGGTAGCTAAGGGTCAATGTCATATTTGTGTCTGTCTTCATATGCAATGCAAAATCTGTTTTCCAACTCTAGGGGCTACTTGTCTTCCTGGGAAACTACTTTTTCTTCCTCTTTGGGATTCAGGTAGAATGAGTCAAAGGCTTGTGTTTTTCAATTGTATTTACTTTTTTGTTTTGGCCATATAGCAGATGATAATATCACTAGTAAGGACAGATAAACATTTGACCTACATATTAGTGTTGTTTGATTCAAAATGTTTCCATAATTTGATGTATTTCTCCATGTGAATGTGGATAACCATGTTGCTTGGTTTATTTGTCACTTTTTGAGAGGCCATGAAAGTTGCATATTAGACAAAACGATGATAATAGGGATAACAAGAAGGACATTTATAAAATCAACGAGTCTCGTAAAAAACAGTATGGAGATAATGTTTCCACTTCACCACTCGTTCAAATTTCTTAATGTTGATATCCTCTGATACTGTCTGTTTTCATGCAGCTAGCTCAGTTGGAAATAAAGGAGTTTTTGGCTTCTGAAGAGAGTGAAAGTGATGATGAAGATGATAATGTCACAGAGGAGCAATCTGATGAAAAGAGTAAAAAACGAGATATGTACCGTGCTTTACTCCAGTCTGTTGATGGTTCAGATGGAGACGGTGAGGAGGATGGCCAGGATATGGAGGTCACTTTCAATACTGGTTTGGAGGATATAAGCAAGCGCATTTTGGAAAAGAAGGATAAGAAGTCAGAAACAGTTTGGGAGGCCTATCTCAGGAAAAGACGTGAGAAAAAGAAGTCCAGGAAAAATAAATCAAAGTATTCATCAGATGAGGAGAGTAGTGATACTGATCAAGAGGCAGTAGAAGAAGCAGATGATTTTTTCGTTGAGGAGCCTTCAGTTAAGAAGAGTAAAAAGGGGTCTCAGAGTAAAGGTGAAAAAGAAGGAAAGCAACATCAAGATACAGATGTAGAAGCAAATGCAAGCATGGCAGAGCTTGAGTTATTATTGGCTGATGACAAAGGGATGGATAATGGTTTGAAGGGATATAATTTAAAGCCTAAGAAGGCCAAGGGGAAAAAGAGAAAAGAAGTTCCAATTGAAGGCAAAATACCTACTGTTGACTGTGAAGATCCGCGGTTTTCAGCTTTGTTCACTTCTCCTCTTTATGCTTTGGATCCCACTGATCCACAGTTCAAAAGGTATGAACAATTCCAAACCCAATTTTAAATTCATTCTAAAACAAGAGTTATATGAATTAGAATCACTTTTGTGACCCGAAGACAGTACTTGATCTTGATGTTTGAATGATCATGTTCTTTTAAATTAACTTTTTTCAATTTGTCATATAATTGCCTTATTTTAACTCTTTAAGATATTATAGAGTTTAAATTTATGGTATTGCGGCTGAGTATCCTGGTTCTGTGTTTTGCAGGAGTGCAGCTTATGCTCGGCAGGTGGCACAGAGGCAGCAGAAGACCGACCGCAGAGAATTGGTCGATAATGAACCCAGTAATTTACCATCTAGTGAACTTGAGGTGTCCATGCCCATGAAGGCCGATGTTTCTTCTTCAAAGAGGGAAAAGCATGAGTTGTCTTCATTGGTTAGATCAGTCAAGATGAAATCCAAGCAAGTTCAATTGCCCTCCAATGGTAAGAGGCCAAAGAGAGATAGATTGTCATCTATAGATGTTGAGGAAAATGATGTTTATAAACCTGTAAAGAAGAAGACCAAAGCCACAAGAAAATGAAAAGACAAGGAAATAGAAGGTGTGTTTCCTATTATTCTTCACTTGTGGAAATTGAGATGCTAAGAGAGTTTTACATAGACTATTGGCTTATTTTATTGCCATTTTTGTTGTTAACTTATTAAACTCAATTCTGTTGATACCCTTTTTAATTCTTTTGAGCGTTTTGAAGTTGCCTATCTGTAGAAGAAAAAAGAAGAGTATTCATGTAGAACCTCATTCTGCGGTTATCATAAACTGATAATGTAAGAGTCACAAAATGATAGTACATGTTGCAAAATTTACAAAATGGTATGTACCTTCTCGCATTTATACTTGTGGCTGTTTGCTTCGCTAATTAATGAGTTTGTAGAGTTGACAATATCTTCTTTGTATTTAAGTGGTTCATATTTTTAGACAAAGCTTGTAGTATAAATTTTTTATCGCCATCTTGATTCCTTCCTCAAAATAGTTAATCCCGTAGACCACTTGGAAAAGCAATTGGTAATTTGCTTGAAATTATTTACTATGTAAAGTCCCGAAGCTCTTTGATGGAACTTGCTGTTGGTTTGGAGATCCCAAATGTCTGTTGTTAGCTTCTTTATATTTTGAATTGTTTTCGAATTATTTAGTTTCCTTGCTGCGTGAGCTTGCAGCTATTGAATACTTGTATCAAATTTTCAGGGGTTTTAGTAATAATTTTTTTTCAATGCTTATTTCTTTCTATTTGAGGTTCTCATTCAGTTTTTTATTACTAGAGTCTTTCGACTAATTTGAATTCACCTAAATTTTGTGTATATCTCGACTAATCCCTTAGGTGTTAAAGTTAACAACTAAGTAAACCTTTAAGTGGTCATCTCTATTAGCAATTGAAAAAAATCGAACTCAAGAGACCTTGAATAATATACTCAAGAGTCCAGTCCCTACCATTTTGAAGAATCTTGTGATATTATTTTAATTAATGTGTCTTAAACATCATCTTTTATCTTGTTTTCATTCAACAAAATAAAAACCAATACCGAAACAGCAAAACCAAAATCTGGGAATGTTTTAGTCACAGCACAGTCGCCTGTTGCTTCATGTTTTGAGAAACTGTTTATCTGTTAAGACTAAAATAAACCATCAACTATCTTTTTAACGTATACCTTAAACTTAACCCTTGGTTTACTTTCATTCGGTTTAAAGATCCCCTCAAAATGGGACCATTACCAACCTAGAGCTAAAAGTACTACAGCTCATAAAAAGTAGGCAAAAATTAATCTTTCAATTGAACAGAATAAGAAATAATCTCATGCACAATTTTTGATCTTCTACTGTTCTACATAAATTAAGTTTATGATTTATGTTTTAACTGTCCCTTGTGCTCCCACCTTTTCAGATGTCAAGGGCTAATTCCTATACAGCTTATCAGGAAATTTGTTACAAATTCGAAAAGCAATTCACAAATAATAATAATAATATTATTAATAATAATGGAAATTGTTCAAATAACCTGCCAAATCCGGAGTATCTATCCTACCGGTCTGATCTCTGTTCATACAGCCTATATATATACAACCCCATCTTTAAATAATGTTAACTCCGAAAAAAATGAGAAGCAAATATCATTTTTCCAGGAAAAAATGACCTCTAATACCAATATGATACAGGGTTTAAAGAAACTCTCAGGATAAGGAAAGAAACTCTCAGGATAAGGAAAGAAACATCAGACAACAGCTAAAAAGGAAACAAGAAGCATCATAATAGCACAAGTGAAAGGGTGTAAATTAGGTGAATGACTTCCTGTAGTTGGTGCCGATATGGGAGTGTTATTACTGTTACTAGTTCTGGCTTCTGGATTGACAGCAGTAGCTGGTGGAACTGCAGAATTTGTGGGTGGGCTAACTGGGAAAATGCTGGTGCTGCTTTCGTTGTAACCTGAGAAAAAATGTATATGCATTTCCAGGTTTCACTACAAGTGTTTTAAAAGAAAATGTAAACCATGAAAGTCAAGTTTAGATGGGATAATACTCACAGTTGGATGGCGTCCAACCCAAAACATTCTTTTCTCGATTGAAGACCATGTTATAACCAGTCATGAAGTTTTCTGGATCAAATGAAACAAAAATTATACTATAGGCAACAATTACTAAATGGATACTTGCAAACATACATTATTGCTATCAGTATATAAAATTCTAAAGCCAAGTCAAATCATGGTAATAATTTAGAATAAATCAAAAAGGAAAACAATTTCTCCTAGAAGCCTTTTCAATTTAAACTCACAATTAATAATTTTTTTAGAAAGTTACTACTTTGAATGAGAGACAACTAGATTCCTTCATTGTTGCTATAATATGCATAGGTAAATATGAGATGAAAAAATATAATGAATCTGATCAATGTACCAAAAAAATGCCTTATGCCATCCCTTTCCTCTTCAAAAAGGAGGAAGAGAAAAAAAGACAAAAAGAAATAGGTAGTTTACAAGGAAGAACTTCCACAAGCATAAAACAATCATCTCAAGTCTTTTCAAAAGAGAATGAAATTGACTAAGTTGAATTTGACAAATGACAAGTCATTGAAAAGCCAAAACACCAATTGAACGATCAAAACAAGAAACACTAGTGAGGATAAAAATACTCACGTCCAATGATGTTCACATCATCACTTTTGACAACACCAAGACAGTATAAACTGATATCCTGAAAACAAAACAATGAATTTCATCAGCAGTGTGAGACGAGTCAAAATCATTGCAGTAGAAGTGAGAACTTACCTCAGTAATGTTCTTTTAAATTAACTTTTTCAATTTGTCAATAATTGCCTTATTTTAACTCTTTAAGATATTATAGAGTTTAAATTAGGTATGCGGCTGATATCCTGGTTCTGTGTTTTGCAGGAGTGCAGCTTATGCTCGGCAGGTGGACAGAGGCAGCAGAAGACGACCGGAGAGAATTGGTCGATAATGAACCCAGTAATTTACCATCTAGTGACTTGAGGGTCCATGCCCATGAAGGCCGATGTTTCTCTTCAAAGAGGGAAAAGCATGAGTTGTTCATGGTTAGATCAGTCAAGATGAAATCCAAGCAAGTTCAATTGCCCTCCAATGGTAAGAGGCCAAAGAGAGATAGATTGTCATCTATAGATGTTGAGGAAAATGATGTTTATAAACCTGTAAAGAAGAAGACCAAAGCCACAAGAAAATGAAAAGACAGGAAATAGAAGGTGTGTTTCCTATATTCTTCACTTGTGGAAATTGAGATGCTAAGAGAGTTTTACATAGAATATTGGCTTATTTTATTGCCATTGTGTGTAACTTATTAAACTCACTTCTGTTGATACCCTTTTTAATTCTTTTGAGCGTTTTGAAGTTGCCATCTGTAGAAGAAAAAAGAAGAGTATTCATGTAGAACCTCATTCTTGCGGTTACATAAACTGAATAATGTAATGCCTCTTCTGTGAGGATTTTGCAATCCTTGTTACTCATAATTTGGGCTTTTGAATACTATTTGTGTGTGTTGAACTTTATTTAAGTCTAGATGTCCATTAAACTGTGAGTTCACAATGTTTTATAATTTTAGTCCCAGCCCATAGTCATCTTAGAAAGAGTAATACTACATATCTCGAGTAGTATTACAAAATTCACATCCCAAGTGTTGTGCTATTATATATGATATCACCATGTCACTTATCACATCAGCTTATTATCATTAGCTTATACTTTATACGTCAGTGACAAGTATGAATGCATCATTTGGGATGAGATTTTTGAGTTCTTTTTGAGTTTTGTATCATTACCCATTATCAAAAACTGCTTTACTTGACTTAATGAATGAATAGTTATCTTGCTCACTTTATCATACCTTTGTTTTTCTCCTTCTTTTATAAGGTGTTCATAAAAGTATATGTCACTTTCTCTCAGGTACTACTATGCTGTTGTGGAATGTGATTCTAGTGCAACAGCAGACTACCTTTACAAATCTTGTGATGGAGTTGAGTTTGAAAGATCATCAAACAAGCTTGATTTGAGATTTATTCCTGACTCTATGGAATTTAAACATCCGCATCGGGATGTTGCAAGAGAGGTATGTATCTTTGCCATATGATCAAGAGGTGCTAATATATTTATAAATATATGTGCTGTATAGGTTTGTGTTTATAGCAATAAAGTGGAGTTATTGATAATCCTTGTTTTTGTTCAGGCTCCTACAAACTATGGGGGTTTAGATTTTTATACCAAAGCCCTGCAACATAGTAATGTTCATCTTTCTTGGGACGACGATGAACCAGACCGTTCAAAGACCTTGAATCGAAAATTTAATGCTGATCAGGTCGGTGTGCTAAATCTAGAATTTGTAACAAGTATGTTTATGATGATTCTTCTTCTGATTCTTGTGAAATTTTAGTCTAATATAATATAGAGTTCAGTTTTGTGTTGTATTCCATCTATTCAAATGGTTGCTTTACTTTAGTGATCAGTTTCTCTTTGCTTAATTTTTTTTTTTTGAAAATGGTGCCTTTTAAGTGTTGCATTGAGACTGAAGTTTTAGCATATTTGTGTGCAATATTTTGTATTGATGCAGTCAGTTCTTCAAGATCACATGTAAGCTACTTTTACAATCTTTGAATGTTAAGATGGTAGCTAAGGGTCAATGTCATATTTGTGTCTGTCTTCATATGCAATGCAAAATCTGTTTTCCAACTCTAGGGGCTACTTGTCTTCCTGGGAAACTACTTTTTCTTCCTCTTTGGGATTCAGGTAGAATGAGTCAAAGGCTTGTGTTTTTCAATTGTATTTACTTTTTTGTTTTGGCCATATAGCAGATGATAATATCACTAGTAAGGACAGATAAACATTTGACCTACATATTAGTGTTGTTTGATTCAAAATGTTTCCATAATTTGATGTATTTCTCCATGTGAATGTGGATAACCATGTTGCTTGGTTTATTTGTCACTTTTTGAGAGGCCATGAAAGTTGCATATTAGACAAAACGATGATAATAGGGATAACAAGAAGGACATTTATAAAATCAACGAGTCTCGTAAAAAACAGTATGGAGATAATGTTTCCACTTCACCACTCGTTCAAATTTCTTAATGTTGATATCCTCTGATACTGTCTGTTTTCATGCAGCTAGCTCAGTTGGAAATAAAGGAGTTTTTGGCTTCTGAAGAGAGTGAAAGTGATGATGAAGATGATAATGTCACAGAGGAGCAATCTGATGAAAAGAGTAAAAAACGAGATATGTACCGTGCTTTACTCCAGTCTGTTGATGGTTCAGATGGAGACGGTGAGGAGGATGGCCAGGATATGGAGGTCACTTTCAATACTGGTTTGGAGGATATAAGCAAGCGCATTTTGGAAAAGAAGGATAAGAAGTCAGAAACAGTTTGGGAGGCCTATCTCAGGAAAAGACGTGAGAAAAAGAAGTCCAGGAAAAATAAATCAAAGTATTCATCAGATGAGGAGAGTAGTGATACTGATCAAGAGGCAGTAGAAGAAGCAGATGATTTTTTCGTTGAGGAGCCTTCAGTTAAGAAGAGTAAAAAGGGGTCTCAGAGTAAAGGTGAAAAAGAAGGAAAGCAACATCAAGATACAGATGTAGAAGCAAATGCAAGCATGGCAGAGCTTGAGTTATTATTGGCTGATGACAAAGGGATGGATAATGGTTTGAAGGGATATAATTTAAAGCCTAAGAAGGCCAAGGGGAAAAAGAGAAAAGAAGTTCCAATTGAAGGCAAAATACCTACTGTTGACTGTGAAGATCCGCGGTTTTCAGCTTTGTTCACTTCTCCTCTTTATGCTTTGGATCCCACTGATCCACAGTTCAAAAGGTATGAACAATTCCAAACCCAATTTTAAATTCATTCTAAAACAAGAGTTATATGAATTAGAATCACTTTTGTGACCCGAAGACAGTACTTGATCTTGATGTTTGAATGATCATGTTCTTTTAAATTAACTTTTTTCAATTTGTCATATAATTGCCTTATTTTAACTCTTTAAGATATTATAGAGTTTAAATTTATGGTATTGCGGCTGAGTATCCTGGTTCTGTGTTTTGCAGGAGTGCAGCTTATGCTCGGCAGGTGGCACAGAGGCAGCAGAAGACCGACCGCAGAGAATTGGTCGATAATGAACCCAGTAATTTACCATCTAGTGAACTTGAGGTGTCCATGCCCATGAAGGCCGATGTTTCTTCTTCAAAGAGGGAAAAGCATGAGTTGTCTTCATTGGTTAGATCAGTCAAGATGAAATCCAAGCAAGTTCAATTGCCCTCCAATGGTAAGAGGCCAAAGAGAGATAGATTGTCATCTATAGATGTTGAGGAAAATGATGTTTATAAACCTGTAAAGAAGAAGACCAAAGCCACAAGAAAATGAAAAGACAAGGAAATAGAAGGTGTGTTTCCTATTATTCTTCACTTGTGGAAATTGAGATGCTAAGAGAGTTTTACATAGACTATTGGCTTATTTTATTGCCATTTTTGTTGTTAACTTATTAAACTCAATTCTGTTGATACCCTTTTTAATTCTTTTGAGCGTTTTGAAGTTGCCTATCTGTAGAAGAAAAAAGAAGAGTATTCATGTAGAACCTCATTCTGCGGTTATCATAAACTGATAATGTAAGAGTCACAAAATGATAGTACATGTTGCAAAATTTACAAAATGGTATTTACCTTCTCGCATTTATACTTGTGGCTGTTTGCTTCGCTAATTAATGAGTTTGTAGAGTTGACAATATCTTCTTTGTATTTAAGTGGTTCATACTTTTAGACAAAGCTTGTAGTATAAATTTTTTATCGCCATCTTGATTCCTTCCTCAAAATAGTTAATCCAGTAGACCACTTGGAAAAGCAATTGGTAATTTGCTTGAAATTATTTACTATGTAAAGTCCCGAAGCTCTTTGATGGAACTTGCTGTTGGTTTGGAGATCCCAAATGTCTGTTGTTAGCTTCTTTATATTTTGAATTGTTTTCGAATTATTTAGTTTCCTTGCTGCGTGAGCTTGCAGCTATTGAATACTTGTATCAAATTTTCAGGGGTTTTAGTAATAATTTTTTTTCAATGCTTATTTCTTTCTATTTGAGGTTCTCATTCAGTTTTTTATTACTAGAGTCTTTCGACTAATTTGAATTCACCTAAATTTTGTGTATATCTCGACTAATCCCTTAGGTGTTAAAGTTAACAACTAAGTAAACCTTTAAGTGGTCATCTCTATTAGCAATTGAAAAAAATCGAACTCAAGAGACCTTGAATAATATACTCAAGAGTCCAGTCCCTACCATTTTGAAGAATCTTGTGATATTATTTTAATTAATGTGTCTTAAACATCATCTTTTATCTTGTTTTCATTCAACAAAATAAAAACCAATACCGAAACAGCAAAACCAAAATCTGGGAATGTTTTAGTCACAGCACAGTCGCCTGTTGCTTCATGTTTTGAGAAACTGTTTATCTGTTAAGACTAAAATAAACCATCAACTATCTTTTTAACGTATACCTTAAACTTAACCCTTGGTTTACTTTCATTCGGTTTAAAGATCCCCTCAAAATGGGACCATTACCAACCTAGAGCTAAAAGTACTACAGCTCATAAAAAGTAGGCAAAAATTAATCTTTCAATTGAACAGAATAAGAAATAATCTCATGCACAATTTTTGATCTTCTACTGTTCTACATAAATTAAGTTTATGATTTATGTTTTAACTGTCCCTTGTGCTCCCACCTTTTCAGATGTCAAGGGCTAATTCCTATACAGCTTATCAGGAAATTTGTTACAAATTCGAAAAGCAATTCACAAATAATAATAATAATATTATTAATAATAATGGAAATTGTTCAAATAACCTGCCAAATCCGGAGTATCTATCCTACCGGTCTGATCTCTGTTCATACAGCCTATATATATACAACCCCATCTTTAAATAATGTTAACTCCGAAAAAAATGAGAAGCAAATATCATTTTTCCAGGAAAAAATGACCTCTAATACCAATATGATACAGGGTTTAAAGAAACTCTCAGGATAAGGAAAGAAACTCTCAGGATAAGGAAAGAAACATCAGACAACAGCTAAAAAGGAAACAAGAAGCATCATAATAGCACAAGTGAAAGGGTGTAAATTAGGTGAATGACTTCCTGTAGTTGGTGCCGATATGGGAGTGTTATTACTGTTACTAGTTCTGGCTTCTGGATTGACAGCAGTAGCTGGTGGAACTGCAGAATTTGTGGGTGGGCTAACTGGGAAAATGCTGGTGCTGCTTTCGTTGTAACCTGAGAAAAAATGTATATGCATTTCCAGGTTTCACTACAAGTGTTTTAAAAGAAAATGTAAACCATGAAAGTCAAGTTTAGATGGGATAATACTCACAGTTGGATGGCGTCCAACCCAAAACATTCTTTTCTCGATTGAAGACCATGTTATAACCAGTCATGAAGTTTTCTGGATCAAATGAAACAAAAATTATACTATAGGCAACAATTACTAAATGGATACTTGCAAACATACATTATTGCTATCAGTATATAAAATTCTAAAGCCAAGTCAAATCATGGTAATAATTTAGAATAAATCAAAAAGGAAAACAATTTCTCCTAGAAGCCTTTTCAATTTAAACTCACAATTAATAATTTTTTTAGAAAGTTACTACTTTGAATGAGAGACAACTAGATTCCTTCATTGTTGCTATAATATGCATAGGTAAATATGAGATGAAAAAATATAATGAATCTGATCAATGTACCAAAAGAAATGCCTTATGCCATCCCTTTCCTCTTCAAAAAGGAGGAAGAGAAAAAAAGACAAAAAGAAATAGGTAAGTTTACAAGGAAGAACTTCCACAAGCATAAAACAATCATCTCAAGTCTTTTCAAAAGAGAATGAAATTGACTAAGTTGAATTTGACAAATGACAAGTCATTGAAAAGCCAAAACACCAATTGAACGATCAAAACAAGAAACACTAGTGAGGATAAAAATACTCACGTCCAATGATGTTCACATCATCACTTTTGACAACACCAAGACAGTATAAACTGATATCCTGAAAACAAAACAATGAATTTCATCAGCAGTGTGAGACGAGTCAAAATCATTGCAGTAGAAGTGAGAACTTACCTCAGCGGAAACAACTACTATTGGCTCATTGACATAAAATGGGTTGCCACCTTTCATTGTTAAATTCACAACTGGATAGCTGAAGTTAGATTGATTTAAGCTGCTTGCAAGTAAAGAGAAAGTTAGTGATCAATTTCAGAAGGAAAAAACTAATATAAAGTAGTCTTTTGCATGTAGAAATGACCTTAAGACATAACAATAGTCAAAAGGAAGCTGAGAGCTCTCAGATGTAAATCGTTTTTCTTGTGCCAAGTTATTGAACTGCCAAAAAAGAAAAACATATTATTAAGTAATTAGATTGTAAGCTGAAACTTCGTATAAAAAATAGAAAAACAATTATGTAAACTACTTACACTCTCAGAAATTTGTGTATAAGCTGGGTCATTTAAGTATGTAAACGAGGTACCAGAATCAAAGATTGCAGTAAACTCTAAATCAGAGGCAGAACCCCCAACCTCAATTTTAGTGACAGTAACATTGTATGTTGGACTGACAAGAAATTTCAGTACAAGAAGATTAGTACAGCTCACTTGAATTGTAGATCAAATGGACCAGAGAAAGGAAGATCAAAGTGATCACTTACTGTGATTGCCTTAGAGAAAACGGTGTTTCTCCTTGGCCTGAGTTGCCTTGATCTCCAAAGCTGATTCTCCCAACACCATCATTCCCAAAGCACATAGAAAAGGAATTTGGTATTAGCCCCTGACTTGCTAAGATGCTAGGAACTGATTGGTTGGCCACACCGAGCCCAAATAGACCATTAGGTGCTGCACCATCCAAAAATGAACCAGTCTGAACGCGACCACAACTGCAATAGAGTAGCAAATCTAAATTTAACAGAAAGTAACATAAATATATCAGTGGGAAATATATATATATATATATAGAATCTATGGTAGTATATGAACTCAATAAGTTTTGGACGAAACTTTTAAACCCTCTTACTGTTTACAACGTTAATTTCAATAATCTTTTTAGTATCAATAATATTAGGTCTAACAGAATCAAGATTCCATTCGTAGGAAGTAATAATCCCAAGGATAAGAGCCATTTGATATCAGCAATTCAATAAGGGAATTTTTGTGCACCAAAACCATGTAGAAGATTTCAAAAGATTTTTTGGTGAAATTCGCAACTTCAAAGTAACAAATAAAGAAATTTGCCTACCCAAAAGTAATACGAGGATTAAAAGGTTTTGAATTATCATCATTTGTGATCAAGTGCAGTACATCCTCAACCAAGGTCCCAGTTGATGAAGTGCCCTCAGAAATATATCGAACTTGATAAGGACAATTACTGGTAGTTGAAGGGCACTGGTTTTGGCTTTCACATAAGGAGCTGTTACAAGTAACCTTTGAACTTGTTGATGATGCATTAGGGCTGTAGATATTAAATTCTATTACCTGTATGAAAAAATTGCATTAGACTGTAGAAATAGGGAAGTATGCAGACAAAAATTAAATATTTTTCAACCTCTCTCAAATGCATCAATTTGTTTTGAGTTTTACAGGAAACTAGAAGACCAAAGAGAGCGTTCAACAAACAATTGCCAAGCTGTTTCAAAGACATAAAAAAGATTCCTACCAAAGATACATTTGGATAACTTTCCAGATGCTTCCCAAGTTCTAAAAGTACTCATTTGATATTAAAAGTTTTAACAGAAATGAGTCTGAATGTTTATGATATTGGAAGGTTCACAGCAACCATTTAGAAATAAATTGCCAAAATTCAACCTAAAATCTTAAAATTTAAAAGTCACCCTCCAAATATAAGTAACAACCTGCCCTGTTGTAGTATTCAAGCCATGGACACAACTGGTACAATCACATGGTAACCAGAACAGGTCACTTCCGGTGTCTAGCGCCACCAGATACGACAAAGCTGGTGTACCCAACGAAACATTGGCATAATATAAACTGAAATTCAAAAGAAAATATATAAATTATTAGTTACTCCATGAAAAAATTTTAGTGTTAACACCGTACAATAAATTTATAAGCTTCAGACTAACGGGAAAAAAAAATACTAAAATATCAATTTGAAAATATTATATGATCCAAAAAAAGCGTATAAAGAAAATGCATTTAATATAATAAACGAATTTACTTAATGAAAATAAATTGAATCATGTTCTTAAATAAGCAAGAAAATCATGAAATGTTATTGTTTTATTTTACGATATAGCTTCTCCGTCAAACTTATAATTTATAAACTTAAAAACTGGTGGCCTTTAAAAAAAATTAATCAAAATTAATTTCTATTTATAAACATAGGTGTAAAAATTCTTTAAAAAAATGACTTCCTAAATTTCCTAAATATAAGAAACAAGCAATTTGACATAAGTTGAGTACTTGAGCCAACGGATCACCTCTACAGTTCTCCACAACCATCAAAATTACAATTCCAACAGTTCAAATATGAAAAGGAAGATAAATGAAAAAAATAAATAAATAAAAAATAAAAAACAGAGAAAGATTAGCTTACAATCCAAGGGAATTGAGTCGGTAAGTGTCGTTTCCATATTCAAAAGTTAACGGCGTTTGATCACTTTCCGTTGCAAGTCCACGGCCACGGCCATGAACATGAAACACGCGGTCACGGTGGGCCATAGCAGAGTAGTAAGAGAAACTTCCTTTATCCGGTAAGTCATCAACGGCCATAATTCCCTTAACCGGATCCGAGAAACGGTGATGGATGCTAAAGCCGAAAGTACCAAACCCGTAGGAACACGTGGCGCAGCACAATAACATTAGCAAAACATAAAGAGAGTTGAAACAGTTAGCCTCAGCCATGGCTCAGAAGAAGAAGAGGAGGAGGAGAATTTTGTGAAGGAAAAAAGAAAAGAAAATAATGATGAGAGAAAGAAAATAGAAATGTGAAGATTGATTTAAAGTGAATTGACGCGTTCGTGCTCAACTCACCTCCTGAGTTTAAGTTCGAGTTCGAGTTGGGCGTTTCTGAGGCGAGTTGAGTTGAAGTTTGGTGTTAAATAGATTGTTGATGATAAATAAGTTTGAAGGAGAGAAGTCAAAATCTCTCGATTTCTCTCGCTGTGAAGCGATGACCGCGCAGTGTTTGGTGCCAAATTGCGGTAGCAGATGGGACCTCTAGATTTTTTTATTTTAAAAAAAAAAAAATTAATGTTTTTTCTGATTAAATTTATATTTCTTTTGTTTTACAATTGTCCTCCTCTTTCTCGCTAGATTTTGTTTATTTTAAGATAATTATCTAAAACCCCTCGTGTTTTAAATAGTTAAAAATAAACCCTTTCAAAGGGGTTTCTCATTTCTGAAATTCATATCATATATCGTTTATTATTTACATCTCAACACCATATAGATACACGCAAAATTACCTGAACGCTCCCTATCATCAAAGAAAAAAAAATTTGGTCAATTATTAGATACGTACTACTAAAGGGAAAGCTATTGACGAAGAAATAAAGTAGTTTTTTGTTGAGTGGTTCGAAACTTAAAGGTGTGAAAAAATATGACCTTAAACATTTTTATTTAAAAAAATATTCTCAAACATTTAAAACAAAGAATTACTTCAACTAGTGCATGTTTAATTATTTGAATAAATTAAATTTCCATGGAAACTGCAAATGTATTTTTTAAGTATTTAAATACCCTTTAAAAATAAAGGTTATGAATACATTATAAATAAATATATATATAACTTTTAACCCAAACAACGCGTATGAATTAGTCAAATCGTAGTTGTTTCCATTATATTATAAAGTCAATGTATCTTCAATTCTCAACTTTATTATCATATTCTATATCTTAATATCAACTAAATGACGAGGCTAAGTAGAAAAAGATATGCATTTGATTATTCAAGATTATATTCCGAGAAATGGGTTTCATAGCAAAAAATAAAATAAAATAAAATTGGCTTTGTTTACAAGAATACAACAAGAAGTGCTTTATAATGTTATATTAATGACCCGATTTAGATGGGAATCTCAAACTCTTAAGTATAATTATAGATTAATAACCATCATGTTTGAAATTAAAGGATTGTTCTATAATTAAGAAAAACACTTATAAGAATATTTTGATTTAATTAATAACTTTTAAAAATATATTAAAATTAATTGTGTTGATGTCGAAGCTCACATCGGTTAGGAGACGAGAACTTTAATCGTTTATATAGCATAAGGATACTATTACCACCTAAAGACATTTTTTCACAACAAAGTTGTACGGGTTTTAAGACTCAAAACGAAAAAAATACCTTTGAAAATCTGTTTTATAAATAAGAAAAACACTTTCCACGGTTATTGAGTGGTGGAAGCAAAGGGAGAAACAGCCGAGACTTGAACGTGCAAAGCATAAAAAAAAAGCGTTTACTCATTTTATACGTAAGTCAAGTCAAAAAGGGAAATGTGTGAAATAATATAGGACTAAAATAATAAAAAAGAAAATATAGGGACGTGAATGATAATAAGAAAGAGAGGGCGTTGGAGCCTGGAGGTTGTTGGTGAAAGTAAACGGTCGCATCCTATCAAAGTGTATTACTGATGAGATGAGAGAGGTAAAGCGTATAGTGACAGTGACGACGGTTCAATGTACGAAAAGAGGACACGTTTCGAGCAATCAAGTGAATAAAGGGTGATGAAAAGAGCTGGACCTACCTGCAAAATACAGCTAAAGGGCGTCGAACATCAAGTGGGATCAACGGACAGAGAGGGGAAGCTACCTTAACAGTTAACACGTAGGGGAGTTGTTCATTGACGAGAGGAGTAATCTAATTAATGAAGCTACGACTTTTATCAGAGAAATGAGAAGCGAGAAGCCCTGGCCCCTGCGCGCTGCGGCCCTTGCCTTCCGCCCTTGTCAAATGTCAATCAAACCAAAAGCTTTAAATTTTTTTTTATTTATTTATTTTAATCTCCAACATGCTGTCAAAAATCAATAATACTATAGGGTTCGTTTGGTTGCCAATTGAGAATACTACTTTTAATATTCTCAAAAAAGTTAAACAGTAAAATACCTAAAAATTCTGATTTTTGAGAATATTATTCTCAATATTATTTAACTTTTTTTAAACCCCTTAAATTTGATAATTTAATTAAATACCACTAAATATTTTTCTAAAAATTACAAAAACACCCCAGTAATCCACATTTATCAGATTCCAGCCACCACTGCCTGAAAATGTCAGAATCTGTTAGGATGGTGCACTACTGGCTGAATCTGGTCGGTAATGCACTGATCTAGCCTTTTCCGATCATATCCACGGTGGATCTGGCCAGAAAAGACCAGATCTAAAGCCAAAGATCTGGCCATTGACAGCCAGAGCTTTGGCCGTAACAGTCGGTAACGACGGCCAACACGAGCAAATACAACGGCCAGATCTGGCCATAGATCTGGCCTTTGCCGACCAGATCCACCGTGAATCTGGCCGAAAAAGGCCATATCGACACACGACCGGCAAGATCTAGCTGGTCATGCGTCGATACGATGAATCCGACCACCCTCTAGCGGTGGTGGCCGGCTGTCCGTATTTGAGATTGGGTTGGGGGTGTTTTTGTTAACTTTTAATGTTTTATTATAGGGAGTGTTTTGTAAGTAAATAAACAAACATAGGAGGTATTTTAAATTTATAAATCCTACATCGTAATACCCGCCAAATTCAACTTTTTTTTTAACTTTTTTCAAAAAACTTTTCTCAAAAACACCCAATTGTGAACCACACGAAGCCATGGATACTAACAAATTTTATTAACCAGCGTACTAACTTAAAACATAGTATGGGTATCATAAGCATAGTACGGATACCATAAACATAATACGGGTACCATATATAATTTTAACAAAAATTAGTAAGATCCGTGAGTACGCATAGCATTACTCGTAAAAAGTCGCTTTCAATTTTGTTCTTATGTTCCGTGTTCTAGTTTTTAATATTTTTTAAAAAAACCTCATTTCAAAGTTTAAAAACTTTGGCTGCGTTTGTTTCAGTTTTGGGAATACTACTTTTAGTATTCCCAAAAAAGTTAAACAGTAAAATACCCAAAAACTTTGGGCTGTGTTTGTTTCAGTTTTGGGAATACTACTTTTAGTATTCCCAAAAAAGTTAAACAGTAAAATACCCAAAAACTCAGATTTTTGGAAATACTACTCCCAATATTATTCAACTTTTTTTAAACCCCTTAAATTTGATAATTTAATTAAATACCCCTAAATATTTTTTTTTAAATTACAAAAACACCCCAATAATCCACATTTACCAGATTCCGGCCACCACCACCGGAAAATGGCCGGAATCTGGTAGGATGGCGCACTACCGGTTGAATCTGGCCGACAGTTCGCCGATCTAGCCTTTTCCGGCCAGATCCACCGTGGATCTGGCCGGAAAAGGCCAGATCTAAGGCCAAAGTCTTTGGCCGTAACACTCGGTCACTACTGCCAACAAACGGTCGTCGTTGACCATCAACGACGACCGTTTGTTGGCCGTCGTTGAGAGCAAATACGGCCAGATCTGGCTGTTGACGGCCAGATCTGACCGTAGATCTGGCCTTTTGGATCTGGCCGGAAAAGGCCATAGCGACGCATGACCGGCAAGATCCAACCGGTCATGCGCCCATACGGCGACTCCGGCCACCTCCGGTGGTGGTCGCCGGCTGGGGGTGTTTGAGGGTGGGTTAGGGGTATTTTTGTTAACTTTTAATGTTTTATTATTGGGGGTATTTTGTAAAAAAACAAACATAAAGGGTATTTTATTAATTTATAAATTCTACATCGTAATACCCGCCCAATTCAACTTTTTTTTAACTTTTTTCAAAAAACATTTCTCAAAACCCCCAAATTTTGAACCAAACGGAGCCTTTGCTTGTTTTATTATTTGGAGAAGTATTTTTAAAATATTATTATTAAATTGAGTTGGGTTATGATTACAAGGTAAGATTTAAAAATTAATAAAAAAACTCTTAAGTTTGTTAATTTAGCTAAATAACCCTAATAATAAAAAGTTTATAAATTAATAAAAACATCCCCCCCCCCCCCCCCCCCAACCCACAATTACTAGATTCCAGCCACCACCTTCGGAATCTGGCAAGAATCTTGTTTCATAACGCATGACTGGCCATACATTAGCCGTCCGGCCATACATTAGCCGTCATTGACGGCCAGATGTGGCCAAAGATCTGGTCATCAATGACCAGATCTTTGGCCATGGATCTGACCTTTTTCGGCTAGATCCACATTGGATCTGACCTTTTTCGGCTAGATCCAATGTGGATCTAGCCGAAAAAGGTCAGATCGACGCACTACTAGCCAGATCCAGCCGGTAATGCGCCATTACGCCAAATTCTGGTCACCTTTCGATGATGGTTGTCGAAATCTGACAAATGTGGATGGGTGGGGGTGCTTTTATCAATTTATAAAAAAAATTGTTGGGAGGTGTTTAGTTAAATTAACAAACCTATGGGGATTTAAAATAGTTGAATATTATAAGATATGATTTTGAGAATAGAGAAACAAACATACCATTTTTTTTAAGAATAGAAATAGAGTATTTTGAAAATAGCCAAACAAACGCAATTTTATATATATAGTCAAACTCAGTAAATTGATATTTTTTAAACTATAAAAATTTACTAATTAAATGATATATTATTCAATCGTATAAATTAATAATTTATTGAGTCATTTTTTTAATTTTTTTTTCCAAAACATTGAAATTAATACGTATATATTGTGTATAGTTAATGTTATATAGGGCTTAGTTGTTGGAAATAACATAGTCAACCTAGTTTATAGCTAAGAGTTAATATGATACAAATAATAGCTTATAGTTAATGTGATATAGGAAATAGCTCAAAACCTTCT